CCCTCACCAGGGATGGGAGGCAGGGCTCACTACAACTCATGAGTAGACTGGGTGAGCTGTGATGCGGGCTTTCTGCCCGGCATCCTCTCAGTGGCAGCATACGATGGGAACCAAGCCCTGCGCACATCAGCTTCCCCAGGAGGAGGCTGATGCAAAGGTACCCTCCCCCGCCTCGCCACCACGGGCTCCAGATCTCCTCCTTGCGGTTGCTGCACTGCTCCTGATCCCAGGAGGAAGGGGATTCATGCTGAAGCGGAAACAGGGAAGCGGGGTGCCGCTTTGGGCCCATGATGGAGCTCGCATAGACACACCTGGCTGTGTATTATTGACAACAGGATGCTAAAGGTGCCGTTCTGATCCTGTAAGGCTCTTCTTGCTCTGAGATCCCCAGGTATGCTCCCAGGAGCAGGTCCGGTCGGAGCACAAAGGGACCTACCAGTGGCCGCGGATCGTTCCCACCAACACTGCTTACCAGCCTTGTGAGCGAAACACGGAGCAGGCCGCCAGCCGGGCCTGGTGAGTTCAGGCCCTTTCCTCTCTTTTATGAGCACATTTTTGACCTGCCTGGGGCTGGCACATCTCAAGCAGGGCTGGACACGTCCTTTGCCAGGGAAAGAGTCATTCACTGAAAAGGCTTCTGTATCACTCTTAACAAAACACCCAGGGCAGCTTAGAAAGCAACTGAACACACAGATAAACTATAGTAAGCAATTCTTTCTCTGTTGTTTTAAAGTCTGATTAATGTCACGACCGAGAAAGCGTACTGGAGGACACAAAATCTGACCGCCTGTCGGCTACTACAAGACCTACCAGACAGCATTACGGCACTTAAAAATATGACCATCACGGTAGGTAAGTGCCCTGGTGGGTTTTGTGCTTGTGATTCGGGGACACAATGAAAAAGCCTTGGCTTGGCCATGGTATGCACGAAAGGCCCTCTTTATGCTTCATGCCATGCAGCCTCCGCTTTCCTGCTGCAGGGAAGGTTTAAGCTGGGCTCCTCCAACCAGGAGAACTCCAGACGTGCTGGGTGGCGACCACAGTCATTCTCAGCCTGCAAGGGGGATGCAGACACAATGCCGAGAGCGCTGGAAGGGGCTCTCCGTGCATCCCAAGATCAGACGCCGCAGGCCAAGAGCAAAGCTCTCCTGTACCCTTGATCTCCCCCCTTCACCACCCTTCCCAGATGGCGCAGCGGTCCCACAGATCAGAGACTCGGGAGATCCCTGCTCTGGGGTGGGCAGTGGCTGGGTTGGTAGCTTGGCGCTAGGGGAAGCAACACCCTTGGGGTTGAGGGTGCTGGAGCCTTGGGGGAATCCAGCTGAGGGCCTTTTGTCTCTGGGCGTCCTAGCTCGGGCTTTGTCTTGGTTTGCCGCCATAGCAAATTTTGGCCATGCTGCCTTTGAATTCTCCCTTGAAGCGCATGTCACTCTAGCCATTTTATCTCTATTTCCTTCAGGCTGCCCTGTCTCTAGTGCAAATTACCTTCTCCAGGGCTCCTTTTGCAAAGGATACGCTGCCGGTTACCAGATAGATTGCCCATCAGCATCACAATTCAAAACAAAAAGAAGTGCATTGTTTTCTACTGCAACATTTTGTTGCAGTCTCAGTTGTTAACTTATAATGATCAGACAATGGACCAAGTTTGTTTGGGTTTTGGATTTTTTTTTTAATCTTTCATTTTAAAGGACGCTTGGAACATGTAAGTACTTTTGGGAAGAGGAAGTCATGGTTCGAGTTATAAAGACATGCATGCACACATGTGCCCATGGCTTCTTGGCCTCCATAGTTAACTAACATGGTTAACTAGCGTGTTACGTGTACACCTGAGCTATTATAGGGATAGAACTTCCATTTCACTTCTGCAAATTCCATGCTTGGCTGAGTCAGCAGGGTGAGCTGGACATATAGAAACATAGAAACAGAGCGAGTCAGAAGGGGTCTCCGGGGCCATCTAGTCTGACCCCCGGCTCCAGCCGGCTCCGCTCACGACATGTCCACCATGTGCACGTCCAGCCCATCCTTGAACCGATGGGGCCTCAACCGCCTCCCGAGGAAGCCCATTCCACACCCTCGGGGTCCCGACTGTCAGGAAGTGCTTCCTGGCATCCAAATGGAGCCTCGGTTCCCTGAGCTTGGCTCCATTGGAGCACGTCCTGCCTTCCTCTGCAGGGGAGAACAGGTCTCTCCCCACCTCCGTGTGACATCCCCTCACGTACCTGTCTGTCGCCAACAGATCCCCTTGGAGTCTCCTCTTCTCCAGGCTGAAGAGGCCCAGTTCCCTCAGTCTCGCCTCATACGGCTTCCCCTGCAAACCGGCCACCAACCTTGTGGTTGCACTGCGCTGCACTGACTCTAACCTGGCTATATCCTTCCTGCAATGAGGGGCCCAAAACATATAGGTGGGTTAGAAGGCACAGAGAGTATAGCTGATGATACATTCCAGACTGCAGGTGGGGAATGCCATATTACAGTGTTCCTTGTGTTAAAAACAGGCACTGCAGCTCTCTGCAAGCAGAAAACTAGGAAATAAAAGAGAAGGCTAGGCTAGAATCTTCCTGCCAGATATGCTGATCTTCTACCTGCGGAGAGATCTTCTGTTCAGCAGTGAAACCCGTTATCCAAAGAGCATATGTGGACTGGAATGAGTTTCTGGACACAGTTACGATCCTCTGAAATGTAAAAATTCAGTTTAGGGAAATCAAGCAGGATGTGCGTGTGTGTGTGCTCGTACGTGCAAACTGGCCCAACCTTTACAGACGAGGAAGGTCAGGGCTGCCATTTTTCATGTTTCAGCTGAAAAACATCCGCAGAAAACTTCTAAGAGACAGGCTAGTGGGCTTCTTTCCCAAGAAACGTGCCCATTCTCTGTTGCAGAAAATGCTGAAGATGTCGCAGATCACATTTTGGTTCTGTTGCATTCTTTGGGGCTGAGTAAAGAAGACATTGAGGTCCTTCTGGGGAAACTCACTGAGATCGCCAGCTGTGGGGAGATCAGCCTGACGCTTGCTCGAAAGGCTTTGCAAATCATAAACATCCTTATGACGGAAGGAGCCAATGTGCAGGAGCTGAAGATGGAGCGGAACAGGTACGGGAAGAGCTGGCAAGAGGAGCATTACTTTGTGCAGAAAGCAAGGCAGAGGGGCGATAGCCTGCCTGATGCAGGCATCATTGCCACAGAGGTAGCTTGAGGAGCCTCCCACAGCATAGGGGCTCCACATGCTCTTGGACTCCAGACTCCCACCATCCCTGACCATTGGCTTTGCTGGTCCAAAGGCCAGGTTTGTGTTCTGTCATGCAACTGGGATGGCCATGCTCTGAAGAAATGTCAGCATGACCTCATCATCATGGCTTCATACTTACTACTGAGCCCACACACTTGGACAGACCTGGGAATCTGCGTACACAAAGGCACAGCGAGAAAGGCTTGGTTTGCACATAATACTCACCCATGGATTATTTAATCCATGGTTTGTTGCTCTACTCAGGGTTCGTTTGAACAAGCTATGGTTTGTTTTCTCAGAACCTGGGTTGTTTGTTTTCCTCCCTCTCCCATTCCATCCCTGTATTCCAAATGATGTTGCAGTGCTGCACTGGCATATGTAGCTTTGGATTTTTGACCACTGCTGTCCATTCCCTCCATAGTCTGGTGGAACTACCTATGAACAACCCATGGTCCTGGGTTCACACATAATGGCAGCCCATTGTTTAAATAATCCAGAGTTCACAACCCAGCAACAAACCAGGGTTTCTCTCCCTGGGTTGCTCATGGTTAACATATCACATCATGGCAACTCAGAATTCACCAACCCACTCCCGGAGTTAGTATTATATTTGATTGAGACCAGACTAACATTGAAGGACTTTATAGCTCTGTCTGGTGATTTTTTAAAATCACCTAAAGGGTGAAGTAAGTGAAGCAATTTAATTTTTTGCCATGCTTCAATGTAAACTGTGGCATTTGTGGGCCAAACTTACTTCATGGGCTGGATTTGGCCCAGGGGCAGCCTGACATTGGAGATGTGGGTCCAATAACCATTGCCCCGGTCTTTAAAATACCATTTGGCAGCTTGGATTGGACTTAAATTTTTTAAACCATGGGAGAAATGCCAAAAATAGACTGCAATTTGCCAGAGGGATAGACTGTCTCATGGTTCTTCCTCGGTAATGCTTCCGTCTCATAAAGACAGTCTATCCCAAAGTGTATCTGTCCGGATCTTGGCCAACATCAAGCCTCTAAAAATGGCTGGCAAATAAAACACGCATCTGCCTGGGTCTGAAGATCCGAGGGACTCCAGACAGGGAGACTTCCTGCTGCACCTCCGCCAGATCCTTAAGACATCTGCTCCCACGACGTGCCCTTGCATCGGAGCACTAAGCAAGTGCTTTCGCTACAAGCAAGGGAAGCATCCGAAGGCCATTCAAATCCAGCACCTGGCAAATGTTCGGATTTTTCACTTTCACACTCCCTGTGCGAGTTTTGCCTAGCAGATGGTGTGAAACATTGTGAATCGAGGCAAAATTCCAAAGATGAGGAGACAATAGCTGTGTGGCTTCCTATTGTTATTGTCTGCCTGCTTGTTTGAAGTTTCACTTAGGTAATTCCCCTCTAGATCTGACTTCCTCTCCAGAGAAGAGCCTGGAAGGTGGATTGTATCTCCAGCCTTTTACCTGAAGAAATTGTTCTGTTCGTCACAAACATATCCCGATAATTATACTGTGCCTTTTGAGTAGATTTTAATGCTTTGGGGGGCAATCTGGGTTGTGAAACTGGGTACAGCAATCATAAACAGAACAGTAAATACTGAGAAGGGGTGATGGTGGAAAAAGGGAATGAAGTTGCCAACAGCAAACTGTGGTAGCTAGAAAATGATGGTGTGTTTTGGGTCCTTGTTGTCTAGCATCTTGAGATTAATGGAACAAATTGGCTTCCGGATGAAGTTTAGTGGGAGAAATCAGTCCGTCGTGCTGCCGAGGTTGGCACTGGCTCTGTTACGCCCAAATCCCCTGAATTTCCAAGGGCTTGCTTTTGGGGTAATGTCCTACAACTCACAGATGGATCCAGAGGTGAGGTTCTGTTCTGCCCCTTTTCCCATAATCTACCAGTTCCTGCCAGAATTTGGGAAGTCTTGGATCAAAGACTCCTGGCAGGTGCTTCTATCAAACACGGAGGTAAAACTGGGCTGTAGGGTTCCTTCCCTGGACTGTGGTGTTTGTGCTGAACATGCACCTCCTCTTGGAAAAGAGCATCATGCAAAGGAGATGGATGTGAGATTGTGTGGACATGACTTTGACTTCTCTTCCCTGCAGCTGGACATCCGTCAAGACCCCTTCACGACAGCCCTGGCCGCCATTTTTTTGCCAGGAGCGCTGCAGCATTACTTAGGGATGTCGTCTTCGGAGCCCGAAGGTCACACAAAGATTCAGTTCAGTTTCTTCAGTGCAACTTCACTATTTGAGGTAAATGGGGCAGCCGTGGAACTGCATCCGTAGCTTAGGAGTGAAAAGAAAGGGTCTATGCTGCAAAAGTAGTGCCAAGCCTTTGGAGAAAACCGTCATTGTGACGTGCCACCCAGCCAATATGAAGCAACGCCTTTCCAAGTGAGCTGTCCTTGGCAGCCCCGTCCAGCTCTTGGCAACTCAAGGCTGTGGCTTCCTGGATGGAATCGCTCCATCCCATATTTGGCCTTCCTTTCCTCCTCTTGCCTTCAATTTGCCCTGGCATTATTATAATTTCCAGCAAGTCTTCCCTTCTCATGATTCAGGGCAAGCAAAAGGAAAATCTCAGAATCTTCCCAGAGAGACGTTTTCTTGAGTATGTCTGCCTGCATTTCTCTCACAGGACAGTAGTTTCAACCAGGAAGTGCTGAACACCTACGTTGTGGGAGCCAGTCTTGAAAACACGTTAGTTCAAAACCTCCCGGAGCCAGTGAATATTATTCTGCAACATATAAAGCGAAATGTGGTATGGCATCTTATTGTCCCTGGGTGCATTTGCATTTGTCACACACCATGGAAGAGTGTTGCCCGATCGTTGCTTTGGTAGACGTGAGGCTCTGCTTCAGGAAACCGTGGACACGGGAGAACCAGGAGGCTTCTAGAGAGCTTCATTTAACATAGAAACCTCCCGGGCCATCTGGTCTGACCCCCGGCTCCAGCCAGGGCCACTCACGACATGCCCACCATGTGCATGTCCAGCTTATCTTGGAACACCCACACTGATGGGGCCTCAGCCAAGGAATGGAAGTGCTGTTGGTGGAGAGAAGGGAGAAATGGAGTGAGGGGCTTAATTGCATTCAGGTGTGGGTGGGGACCGCTCAGCCCATGAAGCTCCACAGCACGTCCTGTGCTGCCTTCTTGCAGCTAAGGATCTCTTCTCCATCGTGCCAGAGTGCAGGACACAGAATAACGGGATCACGCTTTGGGAAGCCAGGAAAAACCTCCTGACTGTTATAGCAGGATGACAATGGAGCCCATGCCCTAGGGAGGTGGTGGGCTCTCCCACGCTAGAGGCATCCAAAAAGCAACAGGACGGCTGTCTGCCGGGGATGCCTTAATTTGTGGTCCTGCATTGCGCAGGAGGTTGGGCCTGATGGCTTTTGGCCCCTTCCAACCCTACTATTCCATCATTCTCTGATTCTGTGGATGCACAGGAAGGTTGGTCTTGTAACAGAGGTAAGCAGAAGTGCATTCCTAGTCCACTACATGGCAGTCTTACATGCAGGGGCTTTGGAGCAATCCCCACCCTAAACATCTTGAGACCTTTGGGATCGCAGTCCTGAGAACTTCGGGATAGATGGGGTATACAGTAAATGCTCCAAATAAATAAATAAATAAACGAATGGCAAGGCTGTTCTCCATGTCACCTGTTGGACTCAGTTAGCACAGAGAAGCATTGCTGAGAGTCCATTAAGTCTATGGGCATCACAACCAGGTGCCACAACCATGAGGGCGCTAGTTGTGGGCCCATCATCCATGTCCAAATTAAGTGATGGGATGCAGACAGAGGACCTGAGCGAGCCGTTGGGATCATGTAGGTGGGAGCAGTCTATTAAGGCTGCAGCCTTGCATACAGGGGCTTCGGAACAATCTCCACCAAACGCAACCGGCCTCACTTGCGTGCAGAATGGCTTAGCGTAAACCTCTGTCTCTTGCTGTCCCCCGGATTGTGACACGGAGGCATGAAAGAAAAGCCAAGAAACAGAAGTGCTGAAAACAAACCCATCTTTACCCACGTCCTCTTCCTTTACAGGATCATGCCCCAGTGCGCTGTGTCTTTTGGGACTTTAAAATGCAGAGTGAGTATTTGAGGCATCAGACCAAACTCAATCAGCCTTTGGTTCCCAGGGACATATTCCGGTCCACCATCGCCTTCCCTGATGACTTCCCTTTGGTGGAGCCGCTCCTGCCCATCTCTTCCAGTTTCCAGTCAAGTCTGGCTGTCCGGTTTGTTTTGCTCAGTTCTGTGTTAATGTGAAGGGACAGGACCTACTTAGGGGTTTGGAACAGAACAGCAACCTCAGTTCCTTCTTCCTGGGAATGCTAGGACAGATGGTGCTGGCACAGAACATCAGTGTGTGCATCAGCTTCCGCCTACCTGGGAGAAAGGATGGCTCGAAACATGGCAGGGGTGTGGCAGGGGAGAGAGAAGGCGTGCCTTGAAGTTCCTTTGCTTCTGCCAGCTAAGGAAAGTTGGGGGTTTGCCTTGTGCTGGACTGAGATATTTTGAAGCCTGAATCAGGGTGCAAATGGAGTGAGCCACCAATAGCATCAGATGCTTTTAAACATGGAGAATGAGAGTTGACTCGATCTTTTCAATGGCCTTGGATTCAGATATTCCAATCGAAAATCCCAGTGCAACTATGCTAGGCTGGAGAATCCAATGGACAGGGATATTTCCTGCAGCATGCAAGGAACACTAGGAATTATTTCTCCTTTACATGCAAGGGGCTGCACTTCAAGAAAGAATTCTCTTTCTCCCTGCAAATGGAACCCAGCAATTTTTACATCTCTTCCACCTGCACATTTTGCAGCATTCATCTAAGTGGGCGATCTGCGACATGCATGCAATCCTTATCCCCCCGCCCCCCGCCCCCATCCTTAGCATACAGCAGAGATGGCTGCAGCCGGGAGCGGGGCCAGCACGAGTCTCTGCGCAGAGTCACGCTTCCCCTGCCGCCTCTCTGGAGAGGCTATAAATGGCGGTGGGTTGGCAGCCTAACCAGGGTGAACTATTTCGCGGCTATGTCTTTGGGCAGATGGCTTTGGTGGCTGGAATACGTCGGGGTGCGAAATGCAACGCACAGACAAAGATTACACGCTCTGCAACTGCAACCACCTGACCCATTTTGGAGTCTTGCTGGTAAGTTGTCGTCAGCCTGCAGTGGAATCTTCGAAGTCTCGCCTCTGAGCTCAGTTACGAGGCTGCGGCCGTGTGGATTCTGCACTTGCAGCCAGGTAGAATTGCTATAGCCCAGCTTCTTGGCCCAGTTGCCCTCTAGATGTTTTAGACTACAATTGCCCATGCTCCCCAGTCACCGATAACCATGCTGGTCGGGGATGATAGGACCCACAGGCTGTGGGGCAGGAAGTTGGTGAGGCTGGCATAGTGGTGAGCTGATTCTCAACCTACAAACCTACTTCTTAGCATGGTGCCCAGATGTTCTGCCCCATGGGGAAAGTGGCAGCTTCAGGGGGCAATTTCATCCAAAACCACCACACCCCCCTTGCCAGGGGCCCAATCCAGATCACACCTTCTAGCAGCTCCTCCGTGTGGTCAACCTGGGAACTGCAGGGGACAGTTCCTCAACTGAAGCCCCTTAGTCCCCGGACTGCCTCTCTCCTCCCAGGCTGACCATCAAATCCTCTGGTACGGGAAGGAGCATGGAAGGGTGTCCTGTTCCACTTGTGCTTTCCTCGAGCAACAACCTCTTCCCGGGCTCTTGTGTCCTGCTGCAACCCTTGCGTTGTCCTTTGGTCCCAATTCCAGCCAGTCCCACCAGCTCCTGGCTCACCTCAGACCCCTTCCCAAGCCCAGCCCTTCCTGACATGCATACAGAGTGCAGTCCCCGTGAGGCGAACACCAGCCTGCAAGCTCAGAAGCCAGTGCTCATCCAACACAGAGCCGTTCCTCCCGTTTTTGCTAGAGGACTCCTCGTGATGGCATCTCGGAGAGGCTGGGCATGAGGCTGGGCAGGCCCAGAATCCCTCCTGCTGCAGCGGCTCCATTTCTCCCCACCCGCCTTTCCCCCTTCTCCCAGCCTTGGAGGGTGGCTGGCACGGTCCCTTCCGTGTCAGCCGCAGGCGGTTGGCTGGGTGGGTGGGCAAGCTCCGATTCCTGGCTCTGAAGCTGCAGTGCTGGCCCCATCCTTGATGCTCCAGGCCATCGCCTGGCCTCCCACTTCCCACAGGCTCATTCCCTTACTCTTTTCTTAAGAAGTGTGGGAGAACTTCCTCAAACATTTATTTTACAGGCGTGCAAAAGCCAAGCATTTAACCTATGATGGGTATTCCAAAACATGCAATTCTTGCAGTAATGCTAAGTGGGGCAGAACCTGAGGAGTGTGAGAACAGTAATGGAGCAGGATGAAGGGGTTCTGCTCAGCCCTGGCCTTGGGCCCCCTGGGGAGCTTGGCCTTTCATCCCAAATATTCTGGGAGAAACGTGGGAGGGGGTGGGTGGGAAGACTGTTTTGGTCCCAGTGAAAAGGAAGCCAGATTTCTGGGCATCCATTTTCAGTGCTGAAACAAAAGTCACGTTTGTTTTTCGAGCAAAGGGTAACCAGAGGCTGCTTGCTTCCATGCTGGCTTTTAGGATTTACCTCGGACTCCAATCAGTGGTTCTGATGAGCAGATTTTAACACTGATCTCCTGTGTGGGGTGTGGCGTTTCCTCCATTTTCCTGGGGCTGGCACTCGTGGTGTATCTTTCCATCCAGTGAGTATTCTTTCGATGTTGCTTTCGGTCCCTCAAAGGTTGGTGGAAGGTTATGTTTGGGTTGGTAGATCCCTGGGTGATCTGCATGCCTCTGCAAGGGTTTCTGACTCCCAAATTCTTTAACCAGAAGTAACAAAATAAACTGCTCCCTTCCCATTATACTGTGGAAGCAAGAAGCTCAGGGTAAGAACTAGAGTGGATTTTTGGGGGAAAAACCAGTGCCCTTCATTCAGTTTCAAATTCTTTATTAATCCCTTTGCGTGAGGCTCTGGCTGGTGAACCTGGGGGTTTACAAAGCTCGGCTGTATGCCAATTTTTATTTGGATTTCATGTCTATTCTCACTTGCTTCACCCCAATAACCAGCACTGACATTAGGGCTCCTTTGTTACAGTTCTCCTTGGGTCCTCAAAAAGCATCTCCAAAAAGTCTGTACTGAGGAAAAACAGCCACAGGGTTTTGATCCAGGGCAAAGTCACCTTGGCTTGGAGTTGGTCTTGTTTTTGCTGAAAACCCTTCTTTGCCCCGTGGCGATTTGCCCTGAATGTTGTTCTTGGAAAAACTCTTACAGCAGGCTTTCCCAAATGGGTGTCCTTCATATGTGTTGGTCTACAGCACACATCACCCACAGTCTCAGTGCCTGGGGATGATGGGAATTGTTGTCCAACACAGCTGGAGGAAGGCTGCTGTAAATAGGCAGCTCCTTGGCAATAAGAGATGGGGCACATAGTAATAAATATGCCAAATAGACACAGAATCACATTTCTTTTCTGGACAAATGTATGTATTGGCTCTAAAAAAAAAAAATACACCTTTGGAAAAATGATCAGAGCTGCTGGAGCCCAGATAAAGTTGCTTTAGGGTGGCCAGGCCTATTTTTCAGAGGACAGTCCTCTATTTGAAAGGCTGTCCAGTCCAAGTCCTGATTAAAGAGAAAGAGACATAAGGAGGGAGAGCACAGAGGCCTGGAAGTTGAGCATCATCCATTAGCACCTGGCCACCATCCATTAGCACCAGGCACATGGGACATGTGGTCACAGTCCTCCCTACTATGGGGAGATGCATTGTATTTCTATTTGAATTGTAGCTATAATTTCTAAATTTGAATCTAAACATAGCCACAAACACATGCCAACAATGTGCAGGTTGGTGCCTTCTTTCTTGTGCAGGGGCGCATGTCCTCCTTTTCGGCAGTGCCGATGCGGCCACTTCAGGCCAACCGATCTGTGGGCCAGATATTGCTCACAGGCCACCAGGTGCCAGTCCCTGAGTTGCTCGCCACCCAGCGTGGGCCCTTCTGCACAGACATTCTGCACAAGCAAGTCCAGCAAGGCTTTTGTTCGGGAAGCAAGAGTTGCAGTGCAGGAGTGGGAGGTGACCTTCTTTTTCGTTCCAGAAAGCTCCGTGAGGACTACCCTGCTAGAATCCTCATCAACCTCTGTTTTGCCCTGCTTATGCTCAACCTTACCTTCCTGGTGAACTCGTGGCTGGCCTCGTTCCAGAAGCGCGGCCTCTGCATCACCACTGCCGTGGTCCTCCACTACTTTCTCCTGGTGACCTTCTCCTGGATGGGCCTGGAAGCCATCCACATGTACGGCGCCCTTGTCAAGGTCTTCAACACCTACATCACCAACTACATCCTTAAGTTTGCCATTGTTGGCTGGGGTAAGTATAGGGCTGGGCCTGCCACCAGTACTTGTGTGGGACTGGGCCCAGCCTCAAGCAAGGAGAACCATCAACTCAGAATGGCCCTCCCGCCCTTGAGATCGGCAGCAGATGCCCTTCTCCGGGAACCCTCCGTGAAGGAAATTAGGAGGGTGAGTACCCGGAGGAGGGCCTTCTCTGCGGTGGTGCCCCACCTATGGAATGCGCTCCTCAGAGAGGTCCGCCTGGCGCCGTCGTTATTTGTTTTTCAGCTCCGGGCTAAGACCTTTTTATTTAAAATTTATTTTAATTAACTTATTATGTATTTATAGGATTTTAAATTTTAGCCGAGATGTTACCGGGTTTTTTAATCTTTAAGTGTATTATTTGTTATTTATATGTTTTAATTATGTTGTGAGCCGCCCTGAGGCTTTGTTGCGATGGGAGCGGCATAGAAATTTTTTAAATAAATAAAATAAAAACCTCCAAATCCTGGTCCTGCACATTGTACAGGCCCATGCAGAGCAGTTCAGATGGTCTAATGCTAAGCCACCTTCGGCATTTCGGAGGCCTGGCTCTGGGCCCAAAACCCACCATAATTTAGCCTACAGCTCTTTCTGCCCATGAGGAGAGTCATTTCCACCCTTTAATGTGGGAGGGGGGGAAATGACACAAAAACCAGGAAGCACCGTGGCTAGCTGGGGGAAAGGAGCCATGGCCATCTGGAGAACACCCTTCCCTCCTCCGGACCAGCTTTGGCCCCCGGGCCTGAGGTTGTCCACCAGGGTCTAAAGCGGAAGGTTCCAATTTGTGTTCTGAGAAGCCCTGCAACTCTGGGAAGGTCTAGCAGAGAGCTCCCACGAAGGCATCAGGACGAGTTTTGTGGAGGGGCAGCTTGGGTCCCTCTCCTGCTCTTGCATTCCCACAGAGGAGATTAGCTCTATCAGGGGCTATTCTCCATGGTACTGCTTGGGGCAGCCAGCCTGGGGGTACCTGTTGCTTCTGCAGTTGGTACTAGGTGGCCTAGAAAGACACTGCCAGAAATAAACCAAAACCTTGCCAAGCAATGGAACTGAGTCACCCAAAGAAGATAAAAGAGGATGGAGATTTGCATATGTAAATTTATCTTTATAGCTGCAAATTTAGAAGCAGCATCTATACTTAGATACAATTATTGTCCCGTGGTGGAGAAGACCAACCAGGTGACCTGCATGCAGACTCAGTCTTCTCGTCAGGTGCTGCCCTTCCTTTATATGGGTTTCCCTCTTTAAACATGCTTGGCCTGCACTGCAGTTCCAGTAGGGGGCAGTCCTTACCTCTTGCCAAAACAGAGGATGATCCTCTGCAGAGCAGGGCACCTGGCTCCAGAACCATGGTGGGCACGGAGATGCTTCCGCCCTGTAGACAGACAAAAGGCAGACAACTGGTGCCCTCCAACAGTTTTGGACTACCACTCCCATAATCCCTGCACATTGGCACTTATGGGGGTTGTAGTCCAAACACGTGGAAAGCACCAGGTACGGATGTCTGTGGCCTTTCTCAAGTTAATGTTTATAAGCTGGGCTAAAATGGTGCTTTCCCTTTCCTCCGTCAGGCACGATTATACCCGTGCTAATCATTTTTCTTTTCAATTCCTCCCTTTCTCGTTTTCTGCTCTGTGTGCTGTTAGGAGTTCCAGTCGTTGTCGTTTCTGTTGTGCTCATCATAAATCCAGATATCTATGGGCCTCAAATCATTTCCGAAAGCACAAGCCCGCGGACACTTTTGTAAGTCTCTTGTTCTGATAAACTCGACTTCTGTTTGAAATTCCAGGCAAGGGGGGAATGAGCCAGGAGGCTTTTGGGTCCACCAGCCATCTTGGATCCCCTTCATCCGAGCCTGAATCCGAGGCCAATTAATAATAATAACAACAGCAAATAACAACAGCAACTATCTACAGCTCCCAACAGCCAAAGTTCTCTGGGAGGTGTCCAACAATTCATAAAATACAATGCAAAATATAAATAACAGTAAAGACAAATATTTCATGATAAATTTAAAATGGAATTTTGACAACTTCAGCTAACACACATGCAGACAGTTTGGCCTCCTAAAACAACCTGCAATAGAGAGCTTTTTGGAGCCTTTAAACGACTCAGAATAAAAAGCCATTTCAGCCTGGTGTTGAAAGGTGGCAGTTGGTGCCACGCAAGCCTCAGTGAGATTTCTTTTAGAATTTGAGGGCTACCACAGAGAAGGCCCCCTCATTGCCACCAAGTGCTGGTGGCGGAAGGAAGGTCTGAGACCGCGGTGTCTGGGGGGACTGAAGCTGGGACAGGGTGTGCCAATATGTCAAGTCTGTCAGCCCCAAGCCTTGGATAGATTTCAGCCAAATGGTTCTCATTTAATTTAATGGACAGAGCAAGTTGCACCTGAACAAGCTGACGCAGCATCAGAAACAATGCGTTGCTAGGCTTGGCTGTTTGGAATGAAGCACTAGCAAAGGTAGTGCTGGGTACCAAAAAGATCTGGGGATGAGGCCCACAGGGCAGGGCAGGGCAGGGCAGGGCACAACCCTAATACGCATGTGCTAAGAGCTGGAGCTGAAACCCATAGGATGAAATAAATAAATAAATAAATCAAGAAAGAAAGAAGTGTCGTCCATTAATGATCCTGTCCCTTAAGCACATCCCTATTTGTAGAGGGATGTATGAACAAGAGGAGAGCATTTGACTTCAGGAAAAAAATTGGGCAGGATGACTGAAGAGTGGGGGGCAGCAGGAGGCGAAGACCCTGGGGCCAAGGCTAGCTCATCCAGGGGGAGGGGTTGCAGCAGAGATGCTGAGGGCCCCTTCCTTTGGCAAGGGCCCAGAGACGGCAGGGTGGTGGAGCAGAGCCTCTGGGCAGGCCCCCTCACTCTGTGCCCCCCATTCTGGATTCAGACTCTTGCCACGCGTGCATATCTCTCACCCCGTGTGCCCCTTTCCCTTGTTCCTGGACTGACAGGGTGGGCAGGCCACCTTCTCCGTCTCTGGGGGAAGGCATTCAGGAGGCCGCTCCAGCTGCCAGATGCCCAGCCCAGCTGTTAGTTCGCACAACAAGGAAACAATCCCACTTGCAGCCGCCACAACATGTCCCTGTCCATTGATTGACTTTGACAGTTGCTGGATTCAGGACGGTGTCGCCTTTTACCTCTCTGTGGTGGCCTATTTCTGCCTGGTGTTCCTGATGAACATTAGCATGTTCGTCACAGTCCTTCTGCAAATTCGTGCCGTGAAAACAAGGAACCGAGAGCGACCAGCTACCTGGAGCCAGGACTTCCTCCACGACCTGAAGCGGGTGGCCAGCTTGACTTTCCTGCTCGGCCTAACTTGGGGTTTTGCCTTCTTTGCGTGGGGGCCAGTGAAGGCTGTTTTCATGTACCTCTTCGCCATTTGCAACACCTTGCAAGGTAAGTCTCGCGCAAGACGACCCTGGCTTGGCCTGGTTGCCTTCACTACGTATTGTCCTTCAGAGTAGGGAAGGCTCTGTGTGGTTGAGCGCAAGCAGATTTGGCCCCGCTGGTGGGAGCAGCTCCTGCCTCTTTCGGCTGGCTGCCCCACTTCATTCCCCACTGTGGCCTTGTGATCGGAAGTCATGGAGGGGGCCACATTAGGGATTCATCCAGGAGCAAGCCTTGGAGGCCAAATTCCAGGTCCTGGAGCGATCCAAGCAGGGAACCCAGGAGGCACTGTGTCTCATGAGCCCCAGACACCAGACGGTCTCCTTGCAAACAGGCTTAATTGGCACTTGGCCGCTACAAAGCAAAGTCACTCTAACACCCCTCTAGTAAACTGGAAGTCAAGCCTTTGCACATGTCAAAAGTGATGCTTGAATCCAAGCTGGTGTGTTTTCCCTAAAACCCTTCCAGTTCAGTAGCTTGGTGGCTCCACAAAGGGTCAGATGATGCTCGAGCCCACTCAAGCCCTCCAGCTGGGCCGCTCATCTCTCTTGACGCCTTGTCATGCGGTCAGGGCCAGGCAAAGCAAATGCAGTCCCTCCCTGCCTTTGCCACTCCTCTTCCTAAGCATTCCCATCTTCAGCTCAGCTGGGGAACCTGTGGGCATCCACCTTGGGGGCACGAAAGCTCTGTCTCAAGGCTCCCCTTCTCCTTCAGAATCCCAGTCCTGCTGATCCTGGCCCACCTGTCAGGAGCGGCAACCAGCTTCCCTGAGCGTCAGGTGGGGAACCCACACTGGCCAGGTGAAGTTCTCCTCCCCGATCTTGGGAAGTCACTGCCATGCGCCAAGTCTCAGCATCTCCCGTTTGAAAGGATACCGTAGCAAGACTGGGAAAAGCCTGACTCAAGATATGGAACAGGCTCCAGATGTGATGGCACACAACACACACTGTATCTTCAGAAGAGACAATGCCAGAATCTTGGCTAGGGTGGGGAAGAAGTGTGGTCTTGAAAGAATATTGACTCTACTTTCCCATTTCTCTTAGGGTTCTTCATTTTTTTGTTCCACTGCCTCTTGAAGGAGAATGTGAGGAAGCAATGCCAAACACACTTCTGTCTCAACTATCCCAGTAAGATGCTGATTTTTTTTGGTTGTGCTTTAACCCCCCCCCCCCAACCATCTTTCTTCCCACCTGGAATAATTATCTCCAGGTGTGCTGGGTAGGTTCTCATCAGAACAGGCAGTCCTTCAGATACCCCAATTCCAAGTTGTATAGGTGTCGTTAATTTCATTTCTATAGTGCCTCACAGCTCAAGCTCTCTGGCTGGTTTACAACTATGCATGCCATTTACTGGTGCGCTAAGGAATTCGGAGCAATCTCAAACAGTCAGTTCCTTCTCTTGGTAGCATGAGGTTGGGTATAGCTGGGTACATGCAGTTCCATTGCAGAAAATGAACAATCTGGATTTGACACTCCTGTATCAATCGCCCTTGTATTTATATCTTCCACTATTAACCACCCCCTCTGCTATCAGGCTGGAAGGATTCCGCCAGAACTTGGGGATATCCTCTTCACCTGCAAAACCTTGAGTGGAACCCGTCACCCCATTCGTTGAGGTCCCTAAAGTCTTGTGCAACCATTTCCACATCTAATGGCTCAGGAGGTTTCCCAAAGGATAGTCCAGATGTTGGAATAAAAACCGGTGAGCAGAAGGAAAGCAGATGAAGGGTTGGGAGCAGGGGGGTGGGGGGTCAGCTGAACATGGGGAAGGGGGAAAACAGACCATGGCACCTCCTGTGTTTTGAAATGTCTTTTAGGTCATGCATCATTTTTAATGCTTCCCTGGGTAAAGAGGACCCCCCCCCCCCAAAAGAAGCCTTAGCACAAGGATCCTTTTTTTTCAATCCACAGAGAGTTTTTGTAGGGGCATGGACCACTCAGAAATGATGGACCACCCTTTCATTCTGCAGGCCTAATTTAATACCCTCTCTTGGTAATGGTGAATCTGGAGTCACTTCCAAAATCAAATAGTCTGAACTAATTTTTAGGAGTTTTTGTTAGTATAGGATAGTTAGTATATGATAATGCATCTGACTGGGATGGTGTTTGCCTGTTACGTTACTTTATTCAGATGAAATAAAATCCCACACTTCCATGCAGAAAACTCACATGCTGGAAAAAGGGCTAGACCAGAAACTTTCTCCCTGAAGTGTTATCTTTCCAGTTGGAACCTCCCATCCTCTATGAGGAAATACATCAAGTGACTGAAAAGTATTCTCCACCTAATCTCTAGCCCAAGTTTGCCGCAACCTCCGATGTGCACCCGTGGCATGCGAGACGATCCGGCTTCCTCGTGTGAGAAAGATGTCACCAACACAGGCTGAACTGTGGTCTCTTCAGAACGCCGGTTTTTTGCATTGAGGGCCTGCTTGGTTCTTTGCAACACTTGGGAAGCCTGCTCTGCTCTGCTCTGGCAGTCCCCACAGGCTAGTGGCCACCTTTAGATCTTATATAAAATTCCATCGCCAGCCTTCTCCAGATAATTGGCCAGCTTTGGGATTATACAGTTCATGGGATGGTGGTGCTTTTTGAAATCTGCCACTGAAAGTTTAGTGTAATGGCTGAGCAGGCAAGCTTGGCCGACCACTCCTGCCCCACCTGGGACCCACCAGGAACACTCTTCCAGGTGTCTCTCCTGCCCAAGTGGGAATGGGGCTCCAGCACCTGGCAAACCCCATTAGAGAACTGGGGGGCTGCGTCCACCTTGAGAGTGAGGAGCCCAAGCTGTGAAAGGCTTTCTGTGGGACTCACACATTCCTCCTGTCCCTTGGGCTGGTCGCCGCACCCCATTGCTTTGTCATGGCCCAGGAGTCAGAGTGCCTGCCAGCAGACGGGTGGGTGGATGGTGCAGGGAAGACGGGGTGTGGCGACCAGCCCACAAGGGCGCCCTCAAGCCACTGCTCCATCAGGAACAGCCCTGGGAGGGGAGTCCCGGGGGCAATTAGGTCAATGTCCTCTGTGCCTGAAGGAGCAGTCATCCTACCCTGTCTCTTTCTCCGAGAATTAATTCCCAGAATCCCCACAGCATGTCCAGGAACAAGAGGAGACCCCCACCTGTGTCAGTTTAGAACCGGACATGCAGTGCTCTTCTGGGGCAGCAAAGCCATCCTGGGCCGGGACTACCTAAGTTCCCATCTCAGGCTGGGTGGTTGCTGGGGCGATACTGCCAGGGCCCTGCTGCCAATTTGCTTGGCATCGGAGGATCTGCTTCAGCCTGAGCTGTCTGTGGTCCTGGACACCTGCAGCTTCTTCTGCCACTGGCCAGGACACCTCCAGCAAAGAGCACAATCCGCCAGAGCGACTGGAATTCAAGGGCTATAGAAAGAACCTTCTGTGGCGTGTGGGGAACAGGATATGCGCAGATTAGTGCCGCATCATGGCCAAAGGACCACATTGGCTGGCTGCTCTCAGAGTCAGTTGTCTCTAAATCATCAGCAAACGTATTAATGATAAAATTAGAACTCTGACTGCTTCACAAATGCAATGACAATAATAAATATGGCTTTCTTTCTCTAAATAATGGATAAGGGTAGCATCTGTTTAGAAACATGGAAACAGAGTAAGTCAGAAGGGGCCTCCTGGGCCATCTAGTCTGACCCCCCAGCTCCAGCCGGCTCCGCTCACGACATGCCCACCATGTGCATGTCCAGCCTATCCTTGAACTCCCACACCGATGGGGCCTCAACCACCTCCCGTGGAAGCCCATTCCACACCCTCGGGGTCCCGACTGTCAGGAAGTGCTTCCTGGCATCCAAATGAAGCCTTGGCTCCCTGAGCTTTGCTGTGTTGGAGCACATCCTGCCTTCCTCTGCAGGGGAGAACAGGTCTCTCCCCACCTCCGTGTGACACCCCCCCACATACCAAGGTGAGGGGATACCAAGGTGAAGGGGCCCAAAACTGAATACAATACTCCAGTTGTGAGCACACCAGAGTCATATAGAGTGGTAGTAATACCTTTCTTGATCTAGAAACCACACTTCTGGCTATGCAACCAAGGGTGGCGTTCGCCCTCTTGACCACTGCATCACACAGCTGGCTCACGTTCAGCCTGCAGTCAACCAGCACCCCGAGGTCTCTTTCACAAGCGCTGCTCTCCAGCCACTTAGATGCATGAAGAGGAGTTGGCTGATCCTGGCATTCTGATAATGGAACGGTTGCTGTAGCAGACAGACCTCCACTGCAGCCCCCGTCTTGCCTGTGTCTGCTTAAGATAGTTCAGGGGCTGCCATGGGGCCAGGCCACCAGCCCGTGGGAATGAAGGAGGACGACAACAGCATGCTGGGGGAGGCGAGCTGGAGGTGGGGAGCCTCTCGGATGGAGAACGCCGGCCTCCGGAGGAGGCGGCCCAAAGTCCGTTGTCCCGGCCACAGGGAGGCCCGACGGGGGGCTCGGAGTGAGGAACGCAGGCACACCGGTTCCACAGAGCCCCTCCTTCCCGACACAGGCCCAGAAGGGCTCATAAGCAAAGCTTTGGGTAAAGCGGGGCAGAGAAGGCTCAACGTTTCACTTTGTGCATGCTCAGAGACGTCTATGTAGGATGAAGACGCTTGCAAGAAGTGCAGGAGATTCTGTCCTGCTGGGGAGGGGACACCTGGCTCACGACCGTGCTCCAGTCCAGGACGCCTGCTGCCGAGGCAGCCAACACTCATCCCCTTTGCCCCTCCCTGCAGGCTCCTCCTAGCAGCACCACAGGCCTCCTTAACAACGGCATGGAGGCACATGGATAGGGATGGAGGGATGCTTCAGAGGCTGCCTGCGGAAGCAGAATACAAAAGGATCATTCCGCAGGCAAGCGACTCCTGACTCCTACGCAGCAATTAGGGGCGGGTGGAGGAGGCGGAATAGTGTCGCAAGTACCTTTCTCTGGTATTAAAAAGCCCCCAAAGACTCCTGAATGGTTCCTTTGACAGGCTAACCAAAGTCCAAGTGGCACGGGCCTGACTGAGCAAGCAAGCAGGTGCTGATAGCCAAACACGCTAAAAAGCATGCAAGGGAGGAGGGGGAGAGGATTTCTGGTGATGAAAAACGTTTAAAATTAATATCAGATGCAGGCAGTGTGGGGAGGTGGGAGTGGGAAATCTGAGGTGACCATGGTGGCAGGAGAGGAGGCTTAGCTCTTCCCTGCTGCCTCATTTTCCTGGTAGAAGCCACCCTTCCCAGCCCTTCACAGGATAAACCTGGGGCCCCTCTCATGCAGAAGGTTCTATTCCCCTTCCAGCTACCGCAGGGATAGGGAAGTTTTGTGCCATGGACAGAATCCCTGGGGATTTTCCATCCGGCCCCAGGGTCTTCCGCTCTTTTTCCTGAAGCTGGAGTGGCCCTGCTATGTAAACAGATATTTTAAGGCATTGAGACTGTAGGCCTCCTGCACCAAATTTAACTGCACTTTTGCCAGCCTGAAGGTGCTTGTGCAGGGACTTGCTCCCAGGAATGCCTGCACAGAAATGGGCAGTGGTTTGTACGAGTGTACTTGGTAAATGCCTAAATGGTAAGAATCACGTCTGTGTTTGCTCTGAACCCTGCTCACTTCTGGAAGGTGAACTCAGAGAGACTGATCAGAGTGAAAATAAGCTCGGAAGACGTCTCCTCTTGTGGGTAATGGAAGGGCGCCTAGATCTCCTTCAAACTTTCATTCCTTCTCAACATGGGAAGCTCTGGGGCCAAGCCTATGTCAGAAGATAATGGCAAGATTCATTCATCAGCATGGTTTGCCCTACTGATCGTAAGCTGCAACAAGGCAAGATGAAAAAAATATTAATTACTGCAACTGTGAAATGGAGCAAATTGCAAATTCTCCGAAGGAACTCCATGAGTGAAGCAGTTTCTTCAAAACCATGTCAAAGAAACTGACCTCAGCATTCCTATGTACTGCATCAGTGGCTGGAAAACTCTGGTCAAATTTAACAGCAGCCAAAGCAAAAGGTGCTTTATTTTCTATGACTGTTCTAAAGATTATAAGATGGCTGCATGAGAATTAAAAGAAATTTTAGGGGCCCAGAACACTTTAAAATCAATGAAAGAGCTTCATTAAAAACAAGAACCAGAGATCCCTTATTCTTGGGAAATTTTCTCTCGCAATAGTTGGGATTATAAAATGAACAGAAAATTCGACAAGGGTAGAATTCCCATTTGCATTACAAATTTGCCAGTTCTTGCTCAGATGAGACTATAAACAGCCTTTGAGAGCCTCAAAGACAATTTAAGCTTCAGTTATGAGAACAAAATGTTCTTGTAACAGCTTTTACCATTTACCCAATGTGGGCTTCTACTCTGATTCACTTGGGGCAGAGTTCTGAACTGTGTTCACCCTGAAGCCCACATGCATTTAGGAGACACTCTGAGGGCTGCCTTCCAGTGGCTGAAGAAAAGTTAAGAGTGGCTGAAGAAAAAACTGGGCCGAGCTGAGATCAAAGGTAGGAGGCAAGATAGCAGCATATTTTAGCTTAAATCTCTTATGATGGCACTCTACAAGTCCCTCAAAGGCTGTCTCAAAGAGGAAGGGAAAGGCCTCCTCTCCCTCGTTCCCGAGGGTAGACATGGAACAATGAACTTAAACTGCAGTGCACCATGTGCAGGCTAGACACCTGGGAATACTTCCTTACTGTCAGAGCAATATGGCAGTGGAACCAGTTGCCTGGAGAGGTTGTGGGCTTCTCCACACCAGAGACAATCAACGTGAAACTGGATGGTCATCTGAGTGGGATGGTATAACTGCTCCAGTAGGGGGTTAGACCTGATGGCCTTCTTGGCCCCTTCTGACCCTACTTTTCCATGGATCTAAGGATCTCGCAGTCAGTAACTAAGCCTTAAGAGATGTGCGTACATGCACGCACGCACGCACACACGCACAAACAAGCTGATGAACCGCCAAACACTGATGGTCTGAGAAGCTTGGGGGACTGGATTCAGCCTGGATGGGCTTAGGAGGGCAGGTAAGAGGCCAAGGGAGAAAGATACAAGCCCTCCTGGAACCAAAGAATGTGATAATGTGAAGGGGCCCTTGCGCATTTCACTCTGCCCAACCTCTGCTTAAATTTCTCCATCGAAGGAAACCCCATCAGTTGCAGAAGCAGCTTTTACTGTTGGGGAATTTCTCTTAATGCGTTGCTTGAATCTGCTGCCTGCCATTTCCGTCCACTGGTCCTCCTCATCCTGTCCTTCGGAGCAACACAAATGGTGCAGGGAGGAACTCCCCCTTTGAAACAATGACAGCCCAACGAGACTGGCTCCTGAGCAACTATACAGGCAATGCGTGTTTGTAGCCCTCGTCCTGTGCGCAGCTGCTGGCGAAGCATGGGAATGCTCTCCTCCTTGATGTAGCACAGGTGAGGAGAGAAGCAAAGCCAAGATCGCAGGGTCCAGAGAGGATGGTTTATAAGCACCTTCCAAGAGCCAAAATAATACCTCTCTCCATTATCATTACAAATTTTGACATTTTATCCTTCAGTTCCAAAACACCCCATGTGGACTACAATGCAGCACATGGAGAAGAGTCTTGAAGAAACACTAATCAGAAATGAAACAACACTGATGGAGCAAAAGCGCGTTGAAAGGATGAGACTCCATCCGTGCGCCGTAACAATTCTTACAGGTGAATAAACTGTTCAGGCAAATGTCTGGAGTGAAAGGGTGTCAGATTTTGGCCCCATGCAAGCCTTAGTGGGGAGAACATTCCAAAGATGGGGCAACAGAACCAGGACAACCTTTTGTCTGCCGTTAGCCACCTGACTTCTGATGTGTGGGACCTGGAGAAAGATTTCAGGAGCCAAGACTGGAAGTTCTGGAGACCCCCAAGCAGCCCTCCAGCTGCTGTGGAGCTGTTTGTAATGAGTCGTGAAATGGGGAGGGAGTGGAGATCTTACCCCTTGAGCTGCAGCGAGAGGAGTGCTGAGTGAACAGAGAGACAGGACCTGGCCCACTGAAAGTTGCAGCACATGTTAGTAGGAAGAAGGAGGTGGAAGTCCAAGAAGAGAAATGGACAGGGAGAAAGCAGCAAAGGTAGAAAGTAGGGGTAATGTCCAGAGAGTGTTGGCTACTGGGTGCAGATGGTGGTGATGATGATGATGATGATGATGATGATGATGTATATCTGGATGCAAAACTGGAATGTGCCAGTTCAACTACCTTATATAGGGACAGCACACAAACTTTGTATGAACTTTGATAAACGAGCGTATCTCCATCCTTTATTTGGTTTTCATTTTTTTAAACCCTGCTTTTAAAAGTAATTAGAAGCACCTGCACACATTCCATTTGTTTATGCAAAATGCAGTACACCAATTATGTTCGAAAGAAACATCCAGTGGGTCCTTTGTTCCATCTTCTGTCTAACAGCTCCTGTGTTCCCTGTTTGTTCTCCAGGACATATCATTTATGCTTCAAATGTGGTATTGTTTAAGTTGTCAGTGGGAATGAAGGCATGTAATTTTATTATAAGGCATGCATAGTGCCTCTTGATCTGACACCCTTTCATTTGTTCTTCCTGAATTCTGACATTTTATGGCTGAATGGTGGGTAATGCTACTGGGAGGTGGGGCGAGGAAGAGGGGGAGGGAAGGGTGGCAGGCACAGTGGGAGACAAGTCCTCCTGAGCTGGTGAGTTACTTGCTTTCCCAGGGAGGGTCCCTGGCCCAGTGGAGCAGCACCCACCTTGCAGGAAGGCTCCAGATTCAACCCCCAGCATCCCCAGCTGAAAAGACTTCTCCTGGAGAGCCACTGCTTCTGGTCTGTGTAGACAATACTGCGCTGGATGAACCTGGGGCCTGGCTTGGCATTAGACATTTTCCTGCATGCCCATGAGCATCTCAGAGGAGCAAAGCTTCTTTGAATGCAGGAATTACTATCCCAGAAAGGCACGGGGTGGGGGAATAAATTTCACTGGTGGCAGAGGCTTAGAGGCAGCTGGAAATGTGCTTATGATGCAGATGTGTGGAACTGGATGCACCAGAGGACGGGGGAGCTCCTTGCTAAGTTGCCTCCAGCAGAGCTCCTGAAGAGACATGGCGTGGTGGGGTGGAAGGTGATGATCACCATTGCCAGATGTTTCCTGGGCGAGACCCACGACCTCTGTGCACAGGTTACCCAATACGGTGAATTACCCAACTCTGCAGGTTGGAGCATCTCTTGGGCTATATGGGGGTCTCGCTCAGCAGTTACAGTGGAACCCAGCCTGCCCCACCAAGCAGCCTGTGGGCTCTCAGAAGGAAGGTCTATCAAGTCTTCCACGTCAATGTGAGGACTCCAGGGGTGCAAGCAAAGACCTAGACTTTGGTTCTCTTGGCTTATAGCGAAGGAGGCAACACCTGTATTTATTCATAGGCAGACAGAGCAGAACCTGGGGGCTTCCAGGTGTTCACTCCATCAGGTGTTCCAAAGTCCACTTCCCCATGGTCTTGATGTTTCCCTTTTCATTCCCTCTGTTGGACCTCTGTCGTGTCTAGCAGTTTGTGTACTTCTGGGAGGAGACCTTGTGTCTCAGAGCAGGGCTCCTACACAACTCCTCTTCTTCCGCCAATCCTTCCAAGAAAAGAAGTGCCTGGGTTCCTTTCAGCATTCATTTCTGAAATAAAGAATGACCTGGTCCTTGTTAACAAAGAACCGTGCAGCTTGTTACGAAGTCTATCTAGTCTCTCTTTCTTTCTCTCTGCATGTGTGTGTGTTTAAAGAAACCATTAACTTAGATATTGTGCCTTTGAATTATATATTTGGACACTGAAAATCCTTTAAATACGACTGGTCCTGAAGAAAGCGTCACTGGATCCAGAGATGGCCACTAACTATAGACCTGTGGCCAACATCCCGTTTCTGGGCAAGGTGTTGGAGCGAGTGGTGGTGGGACAACTCCAAGCACTCTTGGATGAAACTGATTATCTGGATCCTTTTCAGTCCGGCTTCAGACCCGGGTACAGTACTGAATCTGCCTTGGTCGCCCTGTATGACGACCTGTGCAGGGAGAAGGACAGGGGGAGTACATCCCTGTTGGTTCTTCTGGACCTCTCGGCGGCTTTCGATACCATCGACCATGGTATCCTTCTGGATAGACTTGCGGGATTGGGGGTTGGAGGCACTGCTTTGCAGTGGTTCCGCTCCTATCTCGACGGTCGATTCCAGAAGGTAGTGCTGGGGGACCATGTCTCTACGTCATGGCAGCTATGCCATGGGGTACCACAGGGCTCCATTCTATCCCCTCTGCTATTTAACATCTATATGAAACCGCTGGGAGAGGTCATCAGGAGGTGTGGGCTGCGGAATCATCAATACGCTGATGATACCCAGCTTTACCTCTCATTCTCCACTAATCCAGGTGAGGCAGTGGCTGTGCTGAACCGGTGCTTGGCCGAGGTAAGGGAATGGATGAGGGCCAATAAACTGAAACTTAACCCAGACAAGACGGAGGTCCTGTTGGTTGGCGGATCGGGTTTCGGAGAGGGTGGATTTGACCTGGTCCTGAATGGTGCAACACTCCCTCTTAGGGATAAGGTCCGCAGCTTAGGAGTACTCCTCGACCCGGAGCTTTCTTTGGAAGCTCAGGTGACAGCGGTAGTGAGGAACGCCTTCCTTCAGCTTCGGCTGATTAATCAGCTGCGCCCCTACCTGGAGTACGACTGCCTGGCAACGGTGACACATGCGCTGGTGACTTCCCGCCTAGACTTCTGTAACGCGCTTTACGTGGGGCTTCCCCTGAAGACAGTCCGAACACTTCAATTGGTGCAAAATAGAGCTGCCAGGTTGCTGACGGGGACGGGGCGTTATGCTCACAGGACTCCAGTCCTCCATCAGCTTCACTGGCTTCCCATTGAAGCCCGGGCCCAATTCAAGGTGTTGGTGATGACCTACAAAGCCCTAAACGGCTTGGGTCCTGGCTACCTGAACGAGCGCTTACGTCCGTATATGCCCGACCGCCCTTTGAGATCTGCGGGAGAGTCCCTTCTCCGGGAACCCTCCATGAAAGAAATTAGGAGAGTAAGTACCTGGAGGAGGGCTTTCTCTGCGGTGGCACCCAACCTATGGAATTCACTCCCCAAAGAGGTCCGCCTGGCACCGTCGTTACTGGTTTTTCGGCGCCAGGTAAAGACCTTTTTATTTAAACATCATTTCAATTGTTAAAACATATGATCTGGCCTGGGCAACTTCTTCTTCCTTCTCTTTCTCCTCCTATATTTTTATTTTATACTGATAATTTTAATTTTGTATTTGTAAATCAATGTATTTTTTGTATTTTTATATTTAATAGTAATTTATTATGTACTATTGTATTTCAATGTATTTTATCATGTTGTAAGCCGCCCCAAGGTTTCGGCAAGGGGCGGCATAGAAATGTTATAATAATAATAATAATAATAATAATAATAATAATAATAATAATAAAGCTCTCTAATCGGATGGCATGTGAGCTCGTAAAAGGCCATCATTCCTTTGGGATCTGCTCTGAGTGCAGCAATACTTCTCTGGTCTGTATTAATATTCACAAGGTTTGAGTCACCGAGAGAAGAAACGCTTTTGCTCACTACAAAGTGCCTTTTCAGAGAGCAAATTCCGCTTCTGCACTGGCAGAAAACCGATTCAATAAAAGGGTGCCTCATTACGCCACAATTTATAGAGCGGATTTGTCACACTTGGAGGAGGGAGAGGGAGAGCACATGGGAGAACCAAGTGGGACTGTGTGTGTTTTGGCTTTTTAAGAATCCCCATGAAGGGATCTCTCTCCTCCATGCCCCCCAGTTCTCAACCCCCCACAATTTTTATATCGTGGTTTTTCTAGTATGTTTCATTATCTGTTTGTATACTATTGTCTTCAGTTTATGGCATTATATTGTCTGGACCACCCAGAGGGCTTCAGCTGCTGGGCTATACAGAAATGAGAGGAAAGAAGGAAAGAAACGCAAGCACATGTTCATCTCCTCTTTTTTTTGCGTGGGGGGGCACTACTCTACTTCTATACACAACGCAGGCTCTCTGTAGCAGCTGACCCCAACACATCACCCTTCAAAGGTGTTGGAATACAACTCCCACCATGCGTGGCCAGTAGAACCTTGCTGGCTGGAGGTGATGGGAACTGCACTTGCAAGACATCTGGCAGGGCCAGACTGGGAAATGTGCCCTTCCAATGTACTCCTGCAAGAAACTCTTGCAAATGTTGCTTCAGGAGCCTGACAGTGGAAAGGGCACACCCAGGAAATTTATTTCCCATTAAACAATGTCACTTTCATACCATCCTATTATAGAAACACAATGGCACTTTGGGTCTTCCCCCCTTGGAGTATTTATCCCTCTCAGGGGTTTTTATTTATTTTATTTCTGCAATCTTGGGGTACTGTCTCTGCTGAAAATTCCTCTCGTGCATGGATGGTCCCCCATTGTGCCTAGACTGGGACCTGTGCAGGGAGAACACATGCTCACTGTGAGTGTGTGGGGTCTCATCCTGGCCTGTGCGTCGTGGAACCAATGAGAGTGGGAGTGGGGCAGCTCCCTGGGGCTCTCCATTGACTTTGGTGGGAGGGTCTGAAAGAGCTTCCCGGAACCAGCCACCTCCAGATAGGACTACCACTCCTATCATCCCCAGGCAGCACGGGTGGTGAACTGTGCGAATTGTGGTCTGACACGTCTGGAAAGCGCCAGGCAGGGGAACGCGGGTCACCTCTTCTGTAGATGTGACAACAGACTGTTGGCAGTGAAGGATCTGACCCCAAGCCAGCATTGGGACCGGCCCGTTCACAGAGCGAAAGCCAGGCGGGGCCTCCTTGGCAGAGGAGGGGCAGTGGTCCAGCCCCCAGCTAGTGCCGTGAAGGAGGAGGACCGGCTCCGACTGGTGGGGTCACTGACCGACTTTGTGGGCAGCTTCCGTGTGGTGCTGCGCATTGAGCTCTGGCCCCCTGCCCCAGGGCGACCTTTCGTTCTGAGCTGGGCAGCTCTTCCATCATGCCAGCAGGGAGAGCACTTGGGCCTCCCACCTCCGACTGGTGGGGACAAATAACGAAATCTTGAGTCCAACCAACATCCATCTCCTGCTAAGTGTGTCCACAACTCGGCCTAGCTTCTCCCTTGTACTGGTGGAGCTCTGCAGCGGCCCTGCGGTTTCTGCACTGACGTGACATGGGATGGGCATGGAGCCGGCACTCACGGCTTGTTTCAGAGCGAGCTGCCCTGCCCAGCAGCCGAACCTGAGGAAGGTCGATCGAAAATATAAACTAAACTCAAGCCGCCGCCTCCCGCCCTGTTGTCTCCACGGAACATGGCCTCAATCCCACCCATCCCTGACACCTCTGCGGGCGCATCACCGGCTGTCATGCATCTGGGGAATGTAGCAATCCTGACAGCTCATCAGAGAAGGGCTGCCAGCTCACACTGCTGAATGAGCGAGTGGGAAGGTGTTGTCTCTTCTGTGATCAAGCTTTCGCTGGTGGAAAGCAAACGCAAAAAATCTCATCTTTGAACTCGGCCAAAAAGTCCTCCGAGGAGGCACCAGAAAGCTTTTATGGTTTGTTCCCCGAGAACCTGCTCCTTGTTGTAACCAAGTGAGGGTCACTGTAACCCTATGGAACACAATGTTTCTCTGGGCTGGTCTCCGGCAAATAACCTTTTTAGGGGAAGTGTACAGTAGCCATAATGCAAGAACGAAGAATGCCATTGCACGAAGACAGGGGAACTAGGCAACGTTTCAATAGGAGAAAGGACTTTTCCTGAAACCAAACAAAACAAATTACCCCCCCCCAGAAAAAGATAAATTTCTTTCTCTCCCTAACTTGTTTTGGTTGCCAAATTTGGGAAAGCTTGGATTGTTGGAAAAAACACTGGAATTGGGGGTGCGGGGGGAGGTAGCAGGCATTTAGGCTGAGTGTCCATAAAGAGGCAGAAGAACAAAGATTGAGGGTTGTGAGGAAGAAGAAGGAAGGACAGAAGCCTTTGTCCCAAACTCATAAAAGTTGGGGGCAGATTGGAATCAAGTTTTTAATTCTAAAGATGATTAAGGGACTTGGGAGTTGTAGGATGTTATTTTTCTGTCTAAGTAGGAGGACAACATAAATTCCCCTTTCTGTTCCTGTAAGATGGCTCTTATCCTTTTTTTTTTTTTGGGATTAAATGTCCTCCATTTTTTCCTATGGATCCCAGGTATTCAATAGGCAGCCTTTCCGCCTTTTCATATGAAGCACCAGTCAATTCAAAAGGTGCGAAGAGCCCTTAGAGTGATGAACAGGGATAAAGCACTGTTGATGGGGTAACATGTTGAGAAAAAGTGACCCCCCCCCCGTCCCTCCTCCTCCTTCCCCTTGTCGGCTTTTCCCCACATTAGCTGGAAGGCATGTTTTTTAAAGAAAGTTCTCCACCTCCCACACAGTTCAGCAGTGAATCTGTGAGCACCCTTCCTGCAGTCTGAGATTTTGCAGAGAGGAGAAATGTCTTTCAGATTTTGTGGGGCTGGATTTCCAAAGAATTATTTGGGCTTGCTCCCCTTTTAACTGTTTGGCTGACACTTCTCTAGGAGGGCAGCACATGCTTCGGACCACTCTGATCTCAGCCTGAGCTGACCGAGGGTCCAGGGCATCCTTGCTGACAATGGATGTCGTTCTGGATAAATACGCAAATGCTACTGAGCTCTCAGCACCTACACTTGGCAATCAGACAGCCTGGCAAAGAGGGTCTGAAGAGGTGCCACTCGGATGGGGGACCCTCTGCACCGTGTATGTTACATACGCCACCATTATTTCAGTCGGTCTTCTTGGGAATGTGGTCCTGATTAAAGTCTTCTTCAAGATCAAATCAATGCAGACCGTCCCGAACATTTTCATCACGAGTCTGGCTTTTGGGGACTTGCTTCTTCTGTTAACGTGTGTGCCAGTGGATGCTGCTTGTTATGCGGTGGACACCTGGCTCTTTGGAAGGATCGGCTGTAAGCTCTTGTCGTTCATTCAGCGAACGTCTGTCGGAGTATCTGTGTTTACTTTAACGGTGCTCAGTGCTGACAGGTGAGTGAGAAGGAATTTTAACTGATCCAGGGTTGCTGGACTGCAAGATGTTAAGTGGAATATCTACCTGAATTAGAATGGGCCTTTAGTCCAGTATTCTGAATTTGTCAGACTGGGACACTTTTGCTGCAGTATTTTTGTTCCACCTCTTCACTCCTGATTTCCAAACAGGAGTTTGGAAATATCCTTTGGACTGGGATGGATGCAGAAATACTGACCCATGTGCTGATATGCCCATGATAGAAAAGCTTTGTAGCCAACTCTCTGATGGCCACTGGACAGCCACCTGAGAGGGAAGGCTTAACTGGGAGTCCTGCGCTGAGCAGGGAGTTGAGCTCTCTGGCCCCTTCCAGCTCCTCCTGTGTGACAACATGAACGGTGGTGCGTTTTCAGCAGTTCCGGGATATTTGAGGTCTTTTCTCTGGTCTGTGAAGGAGAATGTGGCAGAATTCTAAGGGAGGAAAGTCTGTGTTACAGGTTGAAAATGCCTAGCCTTAACAGATAGTATCTGGAAAACCATTTTTATTTAAAAAAGCTTAAAATAACATTCACCACCCACCAAGGTGAAAAGCTATGCTGTAATTTGTTGCTACCTAGTGGTTCAGTAATGCAATACATGAGGCTCAAAGACAAAAGCGTGAAAATGATGGAGAACATTTTGCAGCCAATTTTCTGGTGTTCATGAAGTCAAGCCAAAAGCTTTAATCCCAAACACCAAATTTTATGTTTAACAGACTGGGACTAACAAATCTGGCTACTGTTGAATTTCATGTATTCCTACTGCACACTAACATTCAAAAGTTAGGCATTTGTTCCTGGAACAGCTCCTAGGCCAGAACCAAACTCCTGGATTTGGATCATGTGCAAGGCATGGTATGAAAATGCCAGGGTGACCACTGCTGGAGACCTGGGTGGGGGCGGCGGCGGCGGGAGGGTGGGGGGGGGGGGTCTTGTCTGTCCAGCAGCATGCCTTGCTTTTAACCCTCTAACATTTTGTCCTCCATTGTGATCCCTAGATACAAAGCGATTGTGAAACCTTTGGAGCTGCAAAGGGCCGATGCAGTCCTGAAGACCTGTGCCAAGGTGGCTTGCGTCTGGATCACCGCCATGCTCCTAGCTGTCCCCGAGGCCATATCCTCTGATCTGTATGCCTTCCACATTCCCGAGAAAAATGGCTCCTTTGAAACCTGTGCACCCTACCCAGTGTCTGAACAAATCTTACAGGAGGCCCACTCTCTGGTGTGCTTTTTAATATTCTACATCATTCCACTAGCTATTATATCAATCTACTATTTTCTTATTGCCAAAGCACTGTACAAAAGTACTTCCAACATGCCGGCAGAAGAACACGGCCATGTTTATAAGCAGGTATGTCAAGATCTGATGTTTGGCCATGTGCCGGGGGACGCTTTCCTCCCAGATGGATGAGCCCACTGACCTTGCACGATCGAAGGCCATGTCCATGCATGGTGGAAAAGCCACCTGGGTGAGGCTTGGTGCCAGAAAGACCCAGGGCTCAGTACTCTGCCCCAACCAAAATACATATGCTTTGATGTTTCTCTGTATCTGTATAAGGACACTCCTATTTATAAAATGGGATGGATGGAGACGGGGGAATTTGAGTTCAGAAGAAAATCTCAAGCTGAAAGATTTCGGGGGGAGCATATGCGCAAAATATTAGCTAATGTGGGGAGGGGTTTGATGCAATAGAGGGCCCTGATCCACAGGGCCCTGAATGTTTATTACAGCAAGTGGCTCTGGACAGCAGGCTGATGGGGCAGGGTGCCTCCCAGAGAGTTGGGGAGCCAGATGGAAGTCTTAAGATTCCAACCCTAGTGGACCCACTCCCAGCACTACCTCTGAAAGCCATACAACTGGGAAGCGAACTTGGACTAGTTAAATGCTGCTCCACCAGACTTAATAGTACTGCTGAGCTGCGTTTTGCGCTGCACTGCAAGAATGGTCCTGGACCACCCTGTCTCTGTAAAGCTCAGATCTGCTGCGGCGACAGCAAAGGCCAGGTTTCTGCTCTGGGAAGGGGAACTTGTCTTCCTTCTTCATCAGGCAGGATCCGATTTTCTCAGCTGCTTAATGAATGCCCAAGTCATTGAGGACAGCTACACGCAGCTGTGCTTCTGTGCTGATAAGCAGCAAATAGCAAAACAGCAGATGTTTTTGTTTACTGCAGAGAGAGATGGACTGGCGGGACATTTCTTCCCAAGTCTGGTCATATTAATCAGAAAAATTAGGCTGTGTTGCACCTAGTATATAGAGAGACCTGTAGCCGGGGTGGGTGGCTGGGTTATCACCTATGTTACCTCAAACCCTTTTACCTGCAGAATCCAGGGGTTATACCTGGAACCCTCCACTACTGAGTTAAACCAAATGTTTCTCACTAGTAGCTGGGAGAAATGGGATATCACACATACATGTCTGGCCGCAGATGTGGCATGAAGACTGGCCTTTAACAGTCTTTTTACGTGAGCTTACAGTGAAAATGTCTGATAACTCCCCAAAGCTGTAGGACTTTTTCCTGTCTAAATGTGCACACAAGCATGCCCTTAATATATGCTGTAAAACTAACTCTGGTCTGGTATTCCATCTATTGGTGAATCTTTCATATTTATAGAATATGAAATATAGAATGTTTACTTGACACTCTTAACTGTTAAACTGCAGGTGAATCCATTTTCTCAAAATCTATAAAGTTTGATTAGTGATTCTAGATATCACTTTACCAATGAGCAAAATATGTTTGACAATTTATTTGCTTGAACTCGCTTTAAAATTGGACGCCCCTGAAATTTTATTTTACTTCTCTTACATGCAAATAAATAGGATTACAACAGAGGGGGTTCATTTGCTTTCCTCCATCACATCACTTAGAGCTCCTATCTAGAGCAATGCTGCTGTTTTTGACCCTTTGCTCTAGTGACTTTGGGTTTATTTCCTTTTAAGAATCATACGTTGAAATATTTTTAAAAACCTATTTTTGCATGTATGTATTCTTTCTGCAGATTGAAACCCGGAAAAGAGTTGCCAAAACCGTGCTGGTCTTAGTTGGCTTGTTTGCCTTCTGCTGGCTTCCTAACCACATCCTTTACCTGTATCGCTCGTTCACCTACCATGCTTCAATAGATACGTCTGCATTCCACCTGGTTGCTACTATCTTTTCCCGGGTTCTGGCCTTCAGCAATTCTTGTGTCAACCCTTTTGCGCTGTACTGGCTGAGTAAAAGTTTCCGTCAGCATTTCAAGAAAGAGGTCTTGTGTTGCAAGGCCAAGGTCCCTGCACGACGATCCAGCATCACTCAGAACAATACGCCTACCAGAGCAATGTCAGTCACAGGCTCAGAAATCAGTGTTACTCTGCTAACAGATTACAGCATCACGAAAGAAGAGGAGAGTGTGTGATTCCATCTACGATGGAGGACTGTTAACATGCCAAGACTCATCAGGACTGAAGCATGCTGGGCTCTAGAAAAGAGATGGGAGTTTCTTCTTGGTATAAATGTCAGGGCCTAGTAGCCTGCATTGTGGGGAAATCACACCCAGGCGCAAAGAGAATGCTTTCACTGTAAAAGCCATCCCTTCCACGTGAATGAGCGGTTCCTGCCAAGCTGCTTTTCTAGCCCCGTCAAATTTGATAGTGCCGCCAAAATGTTTTCATACTCTCTTTGCCATCACAGAGACAAGATAGATGGTTCACCAGACTGTCTGTTGACTAAGACACGAACTTTAAACAGCACTCAGAATACTGGAAAGTGGGAAAGGCACTAAGTATTTTGATCTTCGACTGAAGACTGAAATGCAATTAAAAATGCAATCCTATACACATGTATGATGCAGTAAGTCCCACTGGACTTGGTGGGAATCGCTTCACAGCCAGCATGCTGTAATCAAGCTGCACAGCTCTTTTCAGATGGAGCTGAAGAGACGGAACAGGGCAACCCAGACGCATGGCTCTTATCTCCATGCCACAGGTGCGTGGCCCATGGTAGCCCTCCCTCAAATAGCTCTAAAAGCTGATTAGGCAAATGCATGGAGGAAAGTGGCTATTAGCTACTGCCAGTCATCATTAGTCCCAGTGGTTCCATGGAGTCTTGATGGTTGGCAGCATTATGCCACTGAACAGCGTCTTGGGGGTTTTCCACTGAGAAAGTTCAGAGGCAAGCTGCTGGACCAGATAAAGGTGCTTTGACCTAGTGCAGACAGGTTCTTCCTCAGTCCTTTAGTTGTGGCAGGTGCTGATTGATCCAGTCTATTTTCTTGTTGGCTCAAAACTGGGGGAACTGCTGACACAAGAGGCAGATAAATACTACTGATGAGTACTTTGTGGTAGAAAGTTGCATGGTGAAGTGATGGCTTCCCTTCAGATATGTAATGCTAAGTTTTATTGCCCCTAAACAGGCTTGGTATGTGTTATGTCCCACAGTTTTACAGATGAGACTAGAGACCAGTTGGTATCATAGAACAAATTTTATTACCTGCACAGGGTCCAGCACAATCTCACAAGGGTGGGATTGAGTGCCGGCCCCTCGTAGAGAGGTAGCAGAATTTTTATACCCGGTTACACAAAAAAAGGAAAATTGTTTCTTGGCAGCATAAAGCAAGCTATCATGATTTACAGAAGCGAGACGATTTGTAGCTCTGATACACAAACGGCGCAGCCTTGCAGTTTGTCTATATTCTGATAACAGTGGAGACGCTCTGCAGCTGGTCTATCCTTATAAGTTATTACCCCTTTGATGAAACTTGTCTATTTGATAAAGTAACACTCTGTATGCATGAAGTAACTGATACCCCTTCCATTAGGCTATTTTTTATTGAGATCCCAACTGGTCCCAGGCACCAAGGGTTCTCCCCACTTGCCCTCTTGGACATCCAGTTGGTCTGTCACAGGAGTTCACACAGGGTTCACAACTCTCCGTTCCCCCCTCCTCCCTGCTGGACAGGATATACAACATGACTGTGGCTCTCTGGCTAAGTGGTCTTCCTTGGTTTAGCCTAAGTGGAGTGAAAGGGGGCATTCTTGGTAACGCTATCATATGAATGTGCCCACAAACATGTCTACTGCATTGTATGTGTTATTTTGTTCTCAAGCCAGTTGGGTCAAGTCCAACAGTATGCTGTACTGTCTGGAGCGTACGGATCTCTTCTCGTGATTCTGGGGATGTTCTGTGTGTTACGTGATAAGCTAATTGATTCGCAGGATATATTGTCATTGAGTGGGTTTGCGCAGTCACTCAAGCCCACCAGACCCCGTGGGTTAAGGGTGGTGGGTGGTTTCTTAGCTATGCTGATCACACATCTTTGCCAGGTTTAGATGACATGACAAGCTGTGGGCGTAGCTTGAATATTCAAAATGGCCACCCTTCAAGAACTTTTGCAATGCTTGGAACAAGAGCAGGAGGCCTGCCTGGGATTTGGTAGTTTAGCTGATGCTGTATCCATTGAGTCAAAGTATGTAAGAAATGGGGATCCAGGTCTTTACTCTGGGAGATCTTTGGTTCTGGAAGATAAAACCTCCCCCTCTCCTCCTGATCTTTCTTTTTGCCTTTCTATCCTGCTTCTCATAGCTGGCTTGTTGCTCTTTTCTTTCGATCAGCCTCTTTTCTTTGAAATATAATGTTCTTATTTCTACTGATGTTACAAGTTGTTGCACAATCACTATTTGTCATCTGAGCAGGTCTATTGTCCTGTACTCAATTGCTTTCAGTAACTTTATTCTGTGATTTAATCTATTACTGATTTAATAAAGTTTGTCCTTGCTGGAGGAAAATGAGGTGAGAATTGATCAGTTCTCCAAAATTCTCTATACCAAAAGGAGCTATAGGAATGTGAGATGTTTTCAGAACCAGCGCCTTTCAGTTTCAAGAACTATGCCCCACTTTACGTAAAACTTTTGTGACTACAGATGTTTCTAGATGCAGGAATCCCAGTACTAACAATCAGAAGATGCTACGCAACTCTTCATCTTTTCTTATTTAACAGATTTTCTATGGAAAATAAAAGGATAGGAAAAAAGTTATGGGGAAACACAGGAGGACCAAGAGTGGAAGATGACAGTGTCTAGATCCCTCATAAAATTCTGCAAATGATCACGCAACAAATTCTGTGCATTGTGATTGCACAACAAAAACTTTGCATGGAAACATCCTAAGTCCTGTTATCAGTGGAAAAGATTAGTTGTATTAAGCACCCTCATCAAAACTGGGCAAAATTCAAATTCAGAATGTGAATTCTTGATGCTTGTCTTCTATTTGTAGTGCACATTTCAACCCATGAGTTCTTTTCCAGAATGAAATATAAAATCAGCTAGAGAAGAATTTTCTTCATTGCCTTCCCATATACAGTGATACCTCTGTTCATGAACTTAATTCATTCCGCGATTCTGGTTGCAACCCGAATTGGTCACAAACCAAGTCAAATTTCCCCATAAGGTTAAAAAGTTTTAAATAAATAAGTAATTTTTTTAAACCACAAAAATATGAGCCACGTCCCTGGGCTGTGGAGTTCACAAATGGAGGCAAAATTTTGCCAAAATTTCTGTTTGCGACCTGATTTGGTCATGAACTGAGGCATTCGTGAACCGAGTTACAACTGTACCTGGCCTGGTAGAAGCAGAAACAATAAAGATCTCACTGGAGGTCTCCCTTTCTTACCGGCAGTTCAAATGCTGCTACACAGCTGTACAAAGGATTCAGTACGCTGAGAAAATAACATTTCCAAGAGTCCCTTACTGGAAAGTGTGACTTTCAGCAGAGTTACCTTGTATAAAAAAAGTGTAATATTACAGCTTTTAGCATTACAGGGAATGAATGCAAGGAAGGAACCAGTTTAGATGTTCAAATCAAATCATTTTATTAAAGGCTTTATACTTATTATTGAAGAAGGCTTTCTAGTGCAGCTTAACTACAAGCATCCCTCAACTGAGGGTGTGTGCATGTTAATAAAGGAAGGAGGCGCCATGGTTACTCGCTTTCAGCTGGGTGGGAGCACATGTTGCCGGTTGCAGGGGCAAAGAGGAACAGGAAGGGGAGGGAGCAGGGGAAGGGAACCAATCAAGTTGTACTCGAGTTCTTACGATCCAATACAGTGGCTGCAACGATGCTATAGTGCTGTACCAGTGGACGCAAAGGAGTCAATCCTTCTGAACTTGGCTAGCTTTCCTCTGTGTAAACATGGATCTAATTGGGCTTTAACTAAAATCCCACTTGCTTTTGATGGGAATCACCACACTTACAAGTGCTGTAAGGGGCTTACATAGCTACTCCGAAGCGAGTTGCACCACTTTTAATAGTGCTTATTCCCATGTACATTAGTTTTGGATCATAACCTTATTATAAGTAACTATATTAGGACTGACAGCTATATTTCTGGTTTGCATTGCAGTATTCTGCCCAGGGACTGGGTTGCCCACAGCACTGGCCTTTTAGTCCAAGCTTAGCTATTATGCCCTTATTACAAATTCTAATTAGGATAAGTGGAAACCAGATTTTCCTAACTAGGCTGCTGCTTCTATTTTAAGTATTTAATTTTGCCTGTGTTCTGATTTAAGCGATTCAAGGCTTTAGGTTTCTTTTTAATGATAACATTCCGGTTGGAGTAATTGAAAGCACAGTAATTATGGCAATTAGGTACTGCCATTATACAGTTTCCGCTCCTGCTGCCGTGTTGCATGACTCAGTCACGAAACATTCTCTGGACCAACATCACCACTGTGCTTCCAAAAGAAAATTATTGGAAGCTTGAAGAGATCGCTAACTAGGCAGTGTGAGTTTAAGCATACCAAGCAAAGGTTACTGACAATCTATATTTACATCTCTAGCAATCACATCCAACAGCTTGTTGTCCAGTCACCCAGAGCTTTCTTGCCCAGGATTCTCTTTTTTATTTTTATTACCATTCCATTGTGTATGACGGTAAGATATATTTGCTCTTGGTGTATTAATTTCAAAAGCCAGGCTGCATGCCTTTTCCACTCTAAAAGCAGTCCTCAAAGAAATGGCATATAAGAATAGCAAAACCTCAAGACCTTCCTTCAGAAGAAAAGACCTAAGAATATTGTGCTTTATTCTATGGAGGGGGCAATGTATTGGACCCTAGAGTATGTTTGATGGGACATAGGATAGCTTGGATTACCAGATTTGAGGTGAGGGATAGCACTCCGACCTTGGAGGTAGATACTGGAGCTCTGACCCTTGCTGGAAGCTTTCTGAGGGTGAGAAAGCATTTTAGTAGGCAGAAAGTGGAGAAGACCAGAGAAGTCAGGATGTGAGCCTCCTTCCTTCTTGCTCAGCAAAAGGCCTGTGTGACAGAAAATGGGTAACAGGGAGGCAAAAATCACCCCTGCCATTCCCCTTCTTTGCTTTGGATGACCATAGGTCTTGAAGTTTGGTGGCTTATCATCACTACCAACAGGTCATGTCCCAATTTGCTACATAGCAGGAGTAGGGAACCTGCCGCCCACGTGGGCCAAATGCAGCCCTCTGGACCTGCCCAATATCCATTTTTGCAGGCCACACCTCCTCCCCAATCTTACCCCAAGTTCTTGCTTGCATTTTGTAAGCCGTCCAGGGCATATAGAAACTTTAAATAAACAATAAATTTCTTCCAACCTGTTCTGGCCAATGATGGGGCTAATGGAAAGAAGAGAATGCCTGGATAACAGCATCTGTCTCCCACACCTGCAAGCTGTAACTCCACTGATTTTGGGATCTAGCCACAGCCACTTCTGTAATGCAGATGCCTCTACACCTTGACAGGCTGTTGTAGAGCAAATCAGGCTCTTATCAATTAACTGCCAATTATTTGTAATGAATAATATTACAGGTACAACTCTTTCTGTTTACCAAGGATGGGCCCTGTTCAGACCCTGGAGCCTGGTAAGAGTTGTAAGCCTTTTTCCCATCCAGGCTTGCATAGGCTTGCCTTCTCAGTGACCTCAAGGCTTGCAATATATCAGCTCAAAAATAATACAAAAGAAATTGTTGTTGAGTTACTATTACATGGAGCAAGCCATCTGTGCAGAAGGGGAAGAATCCCATCTTTTGAATCATATGTATTACTCCTTTTCTTTCTCTTTGTGTGAGGAACCGAAGGTGGCCCACATATTAACTCTCCTCTTCCATTTTCCTCTCACAACAACCTAAGATGCCATGCATAAGGGACAGCACATAAAAGTTTTAAAGAAATAAAATAAAAATAAAACTTGGCCTAAAACTTAGTAGGCCAAGTTGCATTTCTGTGACATGCCCAAAGCCACCCAGTGAGCTTCATGGCCAAATTAGGACCAGAACCTGAGCCTCTTGACTACCAGGCCAACATTCTAACCACTGCAAGCGCACCAACATCCCCATCAGGAACAAAGACAGGTAAGGGAAAGGTAGGAGGGCTGCAGACTCCCTAACAGGTGTGCGTGCGAGGCAGCGCTACCTCCTGAGCATGCGCATCAAAGTCCTCCATCCGTTTCTCCCCCGCCCTTGAGGGACGAGCAACCACTAAGCTTTTCATTGGTCCGCAGAAGTTACCGCTGATTGGTTGCTTTTTTCAAAACATCACCCGGGCTCCCTCCCCCTTATCTCGGCTTAATACGATTTCAGCCTCCTTAGCAGCAGCGACTTCCGCTCTTGCGCGGTGTGCTTTGAAGGACGGAAAGAAGAAAGGGCGGAAATACCCCCCTTATCGAGCTACGTAACTCTGCACCCCTAAATTACAAGAAAAAGTAATAGTTCTCGTATTTTTACTAAACTTTAAGCCTGCGACCTAGGCCGAAAACAACAAATACCTAAACTAACCTAATTCTAACTATTACCAGAGGGAACATTTTTGCGCGCGCGCAGTTGACCTCGCATTTTCACTCTCAATACTAGTGAGGGAGTTTCCGCTCATGCGCAGTGTGCATTCACCTTACTTTTTTTTTTTTTACGATTTGGGCACACCGAGCACATTTTAACCAGACCGTCGGGTCGGAGAGCGCCGATAACAAGGAATAAAATAAAACGAGAGAGCCTGGTTTGTCCCGAGGAGGAATACAGGAGAGGGGGGCAGGAAGCCTGGGGGAGGGGCGAGCGGGCCGCGCATGCGCAGAATGCACGAGAAGGCGGGGCGAAGGCGCGCGCATGCGCCCTCACGCGGCCGAGGGAGGGGAGGAGGCGGTGGCGCGGCCTGCTGTGCGGCGTGAGGCGTTCCGGCGGTGCGGCCGCGTCAGCCCGGGCGGCCTGGGCTTCGTGAGGGCGGGCGCCGAGGGCGGTCCGGCACCATGAGCGTCGGAGGCTCGGATCGCAACGAGGAGTTTCACCAGCAGCTGCGGCTTCAGGAGCTGTACGGGAAGAAGAAGGAGGGCGCCGCGGACGAGGACCCGTTCACGTACACCGACCCGGCCGACGGCACCCAGTACGAGTGGGACCTCGAGAAGAAGGCCTGGTTCCCGAAGGTGAGGAGGCGGCGAGGTCGGTGGCGCCGCGCCTGACCCCCGCCTCATGCCTACGAACGCGCCGCCATTACTGTTCCCGAGGCCGAGGAGACGCCTGAGCGGCCTGCGTGCAGGAAAGGCAGTGCGGTGCAGTGGTTAAGGGCACGGGTCTAGGACTCAGGCGATCTGGGTTCGAGTCCCCGCTCAGCCGTGGAGCCAGCTGGGCGGCTTGGGGCTAGTTACACCCTCAGCCCGGCCTACCTCACAGGGTTGTTGTGGGAGTAAGATGGAGAGCAGCAGGAGGAGCTGATTTAAGCCGCTTTGAGTCCTTAAAAAAACCCGGATGTACATCTAATAAATAAATAAGAAGTGCTCCTTCTTATTTTCATAGTAACGGGTGTGTTTGCTTATGGCACATAAACACAGGATCCCAGAAGTAGGATCCCAGACACAGGATCCCAAAAGCAGCCTGCCATTCCCAGCATGCCCCAACTAGCATGGTGTGCTGGGACATGCTGGGAACTATAGGTTTTTATTTTGGTACTGCTTGGTGCACAGGATCACACCTTTAGGTGTCCATTGCTGTCCTTCTTTTAATATGTAATTCTGTCCTTGTTTGGACAGGGGAAAATACTACATTGTTCTGTGCATGCATTTGAAACAAGTTATCACATGATTCACTGTGGACAGCTCTTTAACGGATTTGGAGTGTAACCCAAGGGATATTTAGCCAGAAATAAGAGGCCTAGAATTCTCAGCATGGTGGGCTGGGCCATCCTGTGGTTTGTAGGCTTCCCTTTCACATCCAAACAGAGAATTGCATCTTTATTGTCCAGTGACCTGTAAAGAAACTTTGTGTGGTTCAGAAGTAGTCTTTTTAATTTTGTCTGGTGGTGTTGCTGAAATGCACTATTTGCTTACCCAACTTTATAGTAACAACAACTGTCAATGTAAGAAGAGCTGTGGAGCATCTGTTGCTCAAAGTGGGTGTGTCTCCCCCATCTTTTGAATCAGAAGAGCATAAAAAGCAGCATGCTGGATCAGACCAAGTAGTCTGATCACATAGAGGCCTGTCAGCCAACTGCCCACAGTGATGCCCCAAGCAGGATATGAAAGCAACAGCACCCTCCTTCCCATGTTCCTCAGCAACTGGGCTAGCTAGACACACTGCCTAGTCATACAAGCCATCCAGGCTAGACATACCAGAAGTTGCACTTGGCCATCCAGGCTGGTAGCCGCTGATAAGCCTTCTCCATGTATGCGTCCAGTCCCATTCTGCAGCCATCCAATTTGGTGGCCACCACTAAAACTTGTGGTGGGGAGTAAGACAGCTTAGGTATCCATCTTCTCTGAAAGCTTCTGCAGCTGGGATGACATTTGAAATCCTTGCCAAGAATTGCTGGGTACTGCTGGTGTTGTTTTCAGCAAGGCCTGCCTGGCTAAAGAACCTAGAGCCCGATTCAGACCAGGGCCCACCTATCCTAGTATGTTGTTCACATTATGGCCAGCCAGCTGCCCATGCAAAATCCACAAGCAAGATGGGGGCAACAGCACCCTCCACCCATGTTCCCTGGCAACAGTCAACTGGACTGGTTGCCACTGGTAGCCTTCTCTCCCAGGAATTTGTCCAGTCTCCTTCGAAAGCCATCCAAATTGGCGGCCAGCTGTAGAGATCTTAGTGGCTTACCCTTCCCATCAATCCCATGTGCCATCTGGAGGGCACCAGGTTGGGGAAAGCCTGCGACAAGCTTGGGGTAGGTAACTAGTGGCTCTCCAGATGTTTTGGCTTACAATTTCCATCACACTCTGCTAGCATAACCAGTTGCAGGGGATGATGAGAGTTGTAAGCAAAACATTGGATGCCCACCCTTGATATAACAAATAATAGTAGTATGTAATAACGGGTGTTAAAACAACCGATGAAAATATAACGTTTTATCCACTTACTGTAATGCTGCTGTCTAGGTAGTCTGTAAAATAAATGTTGGTAGTTCCAGAGACTGCATTTTAGCCTATAGTAACTCCCAGTAATGATTAACTTAAGCTTTGATTAAAATCCATTGCTGCTCAACTTGCAGCTATGGGGATAGGAAAGTATTTTGGGATTAGTAAACTGATAAATAATATTGCCTTGTAAATAAGTTACAAAAGTTGCTGGCCTACCAAGCGTTTTTAACTCTCTGATGCACGCCCATCAGCAACTTGGAACAGATTTGGTTGTGTTTTTCCCCCCTTGAATTTACAAACCCTGCCTAGTTCAGAAATATACCAGAGCAGGATCATATACAAAATATAAGAAGAATCTGTAAAAATAATAAACCATTCATAAACCATTCCTCTTTGATTCTTGGGGGCTGTCTCCAAACTTTAAAAAATCTGGTATGTTTTGAAGTGAGTTATTTTTGCAGGAGCACAAGGGGTGTCTATTTTTCTTTTTACTTCTCTGGAAAATGATTCCTTTCTAGTCCCCTCTTCTGGCCTCTCTTGGGGCACAGCTTTATATGGTCTCATTTATGTTTCTCCTCCATGTTGTTATTACTGAAACTTCATGGCACAATCATCTTTATTGGAACAACCCTATTAGGAAGGTTACTTTCATTATTGTTACTGTTTCATTAGGTAGTGGCTTGCCAACATAACTGAAGCCAAACAGTATTTATTCTGTGTCTGAAATTGGAATCCCAAGTCCAGTGCCAATGTTCGAGCTACAGGATTAAGCTGGCAAATGCAGGTCACACTGCTTCTGTAACTGAATTATTTATAAGCAATTGCTTGCTTCTTTCAGTAGCTGGAAGGATATTTGTAAGAGTTTTACAGTTCCCTGCTCAAAAGGGCCTGAAGAGATAATTTTGCAGGAAAGTAGTTAACGGACGATAGAGATGTCACAAATCATTATTGAAGGCTTGATCTCCTAGCTATGTGCAGCTGCTGCAGTTCACACATGGCCTGTGCTAATGTACCTACAGTAGCATCTTTCTACTCTAGAAAGGAAGCATGTTTGTCCTAGTAGTGGTTCCATCAGGAAAGGTCACTACCCCATAATTTTAAAAATAGAACACCATCTGTGTTGTTCATTTCAGAGGCCATAGGCATATGCCATTCATCCCATGCAGCAGTTAGACTGAATTCTTGATTTAGACTTTGAACTGATGTTCCACATTCTTTTTTAGGTCACTGAAGACTTCCTGGCGACATATCATGCTAACTATGGCTTTCCCACTGAAAGTTCAGAAAATTCATCTGCATTTCTTCCAAAGACTGAATCCAAACCACCTACAGATTCAAAGAAAGCCAAGATCCAGCCGCCAGGAGATTCAAAGGCATCACAGCCAATGGATCCTAAACAAAAAGGAGAGAAGAGAAAACCCGAACCAGGCAAGGAACTAAATTACACATGACTTAGAAGTAGTCACCTGCTCCGAAAGAGTGTCTGTCTGCCGAATTGAGAGTTTTACAGCTTCGATAGCAAGGTTACAGTATTCATGTTGAACGTTCTTGTAACCATCCAGAAATGACTCCTATTTCTATTCTGAGAGTCTTGTGTTAAAGAATCAAATTATTGATGGCTTTTAACAATTTATAAGCTTTGTTAAATCCTGATAGATGTGAAGGACATAAGTTTCCTCATAAGAGGCACACTTTTTGCATGTCTAGCTCAGGGTTGTTGCCTCTGTTTGGCAGTGGCTTTCTAGGGACATGTGCACTTTTTGTCTGAAGAGCTATTGTGTTTGTGTAAGACTGCAGTGTAACTAATAATGATCTCTCCTTTAGGATGGTTTCACGTTGAGGATCAGAAAAATACAAATGTTTATGTGACAGGTGAGGAGCAGTTTTTGGAGTTTGCTAATGTTGTGTTATGAAATGTTTTGAAACTTCTGTTCTGTGTTTAACATGGGGGGGATATCAATATGCTTTTGTGGCTATTACTTCTGGTTATATAAAACCTTTGCAATTAAGCTAATTTTACTTGTAAGTGGAATAAGAGGAAGATGTTTGAGTTTTTTTGATGTTTTAATCATCTTTATTTGGCTTGGCTGGGGTGAGGTGGACAAATGAAATGCTGCAAAAGGGAAGTTCATTGAAGAACAGAAGCAGCAATTAGCTACCTGAATATTAAATTATGCCTGTTGCAGTAATACTCTCCCTAAATTCAGATATTATTAACAGCAAATTATGTCTCACTTGCTATAATTTTCAGCTTTTTTGCACTCCAGTTTTTCTGTTAGCTGAAACTGAGAGCCACCACATTTCCATTTAATGATAACTGGATTGCTACACTGATCCTTAGATCTGTGAGGCCAACAGCTGTCAACATATTCTAAGCAGGCTAGTTTATTCATTCCTAGCTGGAGGGCCATCTTATGACAAGCCAGACCACTGGTCATTTAGGTCAGCTCTGAGTGGCGGTGTGTCTCTAGGGTTCCACGTGTGAGTTCTTCCAAGGCTTGAATATGAGACCTTCTGCATGCTGATCGTGTAAGCTGTGACTCAGGCTAATAGTTGCATTATCCCCAGCCCTGCAAAATACCTGAAAGATCCTATGGATTGTGTAGATATTAAACAGACACTCTGCCTGCAGGCTCACAATCTAATAGACATGAGACAAAAAGAACAAGGATTGAGAAAGGTTGATGGATGAGGCAAGGTGCTCTTCCAGTGGACTGTGTCTCTGGGTCAGTGGCGCAGCCAGAAAGTGCCTTCCGCTCTGCGGTCTTCCCGTAGTTCCCCATGATGTGCCAGTTGCACAGTTATTCTTTTTCCTGGCAAAAAAGGAAGATGCTGACCTAGCGGCTCCTAATTGTGCCAGAGCAGAATTGAGGCCGTGGTTTGGAAGATCTAGCAGCTTCTCTGTTGGTTCTTTAAAGCAGGGGTCCTCAAATGTTTTCAACAGGGAGCCAGTTTACTGTCCCTCAGACTGTTGAGGGGCTGGACTATAGTTTGAAAAAAAATGAATAAATTCCTATGTACACTGCACATTAAAATAATTAAAATAAATTTAAAGATTAATTAACATTTTAAAATTAATTAAAAATTTAAAAAATGTTTTCTCGCTTTCTCCACGGCTTTCTCCGAGTAAGCATTCTCTGCCGTGGCTTTCTCCAAGTAAGCCGCTCCACCTCAGCCTGTCTGCCCTGGGCTTGGTGAGATGGCAGTGGCAGCAGCGGCTTGCTTCCTCAGAGAAGGCTGTGTGGCCTAGCCGCCCCTGGGCTCAAATAATTAAAAATGGATTTTGAAAGTTATACTTTTCTTACCTTCAGTCCTTTTTTAGTTTCTTTGTCTTTGTCTCTCTTTCTCTTCTGCCCACCTCTCTTCTGTTTCCCACTCCATATTCCCTCTGTATATGCATGCAATGGGGGGGAGGGGGAGAGAGCTGGCGCATGCACAATTGAGTGGGTGCAATTTCTCTGCTCAGTTTCTGAGAACGCCTGCACTGGCTCAGAGCTTTTGGACTCGCTCGGAGATCGTTTTCTCCAAGTGAGTCCAAAACCTCTGAGGCGGGCTGGATACGGCCCATGGGCCACAGTTTGAGGACCCATGCTTTAAAGCCTACCTTTTCAGGGGCAGGATTTGCAGATGATGATGATGATGATGATGATGATGATGATGATGATGATTATAACATTTCTATGCCGTCCCTTGCCGAAGCCTCGGGGCGGCTTACAACACAATAAAATACATTGAAATACAATAGAACATAATAAATTACCATTAAATACAAAAATACAAAAAATACACTGAGTTACAAACATAATAATATAAAATTAAAATTATCAGTATAAAATAAGTAAATAAATAATATAGGAGGAGAAAAGAGAAGGAAGAAGAAGTTGCAGCCCAAGACAGGACAATCTGTCTCTTTGACTTCCCCGAATCACAAGAAATAGGAATTTGTTGTAATTGGTATAGTTCCCTTTAGTGTATTGTTGCTGCAGTATTTTTATTTATTTGAATTGTGGTTGGTGTGTTTGCATAAAATCCAAAGCTAAGGCCTTGTCCAGGGAGTGAAGATTGTGTTTTGCAGAACACAAATAGTGTGTTACGGCTTTGAAATTGCCTTTCCAGGCAAAGAGAATTGCATTTGTCCTTAGGGATCTTCTGGCTCCAAAAGCCAGCAGATCACTTAAAAGAAAGAGAAAGAGCCCTGGAAAACTATGTGAACCAATTCTGGAATTTTTTTCAAGTTAGAATCCCTGATTTGATTCCTCTATGAAAACTGAATTAGAGGTACTGATAGGTATGCTTGCTACATTTGTGTCTGTTCGAATTTATTCCTCCAGGTTTACCACCAGACATTACAAAAGATGAGTTCATACAGGTCATGTCAAAATGTGGTATCATTATGCGTGATCCTCAAACAGAGGAGCCTAAAATTAAACTTTACAAAGACAAAGAAGGAAATCTTAAAGGAGATGGGCTGTGTTGCTACTTGAAGGTGAGTTGTATGGTTCAGTTGCATTTTCATGGAGATATTTCACATTTTTGCTACTAGGATTCCAATCGTTCCCTGGTCTCTCTTCTTGTTAGCTGAATGCTAGTTTTATTTTGGACAGTCACAGGGATGCCAGAGTTTATTCTGGTAAATGTCATTTGTAAATGTTGCCGTTTTACCTGCTTGTCTTTGTTTAGCAGGAAGTTAAGAGTCCTCAATTCTGATTTTCTCCTTTCTCTTGTTAATAGAGAGAATCTGTGGATCTTGCACTAAAATTGCTAGATGAAAATGAAATAAGAGGCTACAAACTGCATGTGGAAGTTGCACAGTTCCAACTGAAGGGCGAATATGATGCCAGCAAGAAGAAGAAGAAATGCAAAGACTACAAGAAGAAAATGTCTCTACAGCAAAAGTGTGTAAATAAGCTGGCTTTTCTGTATTGTGTGGAAATAGAAGGCTAAAACCTGAAGTCTTGGTTTAATTCCTTTGTTAAAACAAGTGAAAAATAGTTTTCAAACTGCCTAGTGCACTTCAGCTGTTAGTTATGTCATGCACGTTACCCAACTTCACAACTTTTATTAGCATTGAACATACTGCTTGTGCAAACAGTGGTCAGGCTTGCTTTTATATTAAGTTGCCATCTTAACTTTTAACCAAAGTATTTGCAGGATCTTAAAATAGAGTTCAGATTCCATAAAAGGCTGACTTCGGACTAATTGCATATTTACAGCTGATGTGTCAGATACTGTTGATGTAGGCTGGTTCAAGAACCATTTAGAGACATGTTGTTAAGAGACTAGCTTCACAATAACTGCCAGTGCTGAGACCATGATTTAAGAAATGCCAAATTAATGTTTTCTTTCAACAAATACTTTTAGAAACTGAAGAGGTCAGCCCCAACTTCTTACTATTGCTTCATTTCATTAGACTGCTGGATTGGAGGCCAGAGAAGAAAGATGGCACCGTTCGGTTGCGGCATGAGCGGGTTATCATTATCAGGAACATGTTTCACCCCAAAGATTTTGAGGTAGGAAAGCCTGCTTCCCTCATCAGCAGTGTAATAGAGCTGAGGAGGGCCCAAGATGCCAAAATCCCTAAGGAATTAGGTGCTCACATGGATGAAAAGTGCAGGCAGTGGTCATGGTGCATTAGGAGAAATCCAAAGGTTGGATGTAGCGTGATTCCCTCTAGGACCAGCCGGAAATCAGGGAGCAAGTTTTAGAGCCTGCCAGGCTCCACTTCCTGCTGAATACCAAGCAGCACCTCACCCTAAACAGGGAGGTAGAAGTAGCTCACTGTTGCTGATGTTTACATTTGGAAAGGGAGAGGAGCCCTTGCTGCAACCCGAGACCTGTTTACGCCAGGTGTGGTATAACCTGCACAGCGCCTCCTCTGCCCTACCTCTCGACTCGCGGGGGGCAGGCTTCTGTTGTGCCTGGCAGTTCGGTTTCCTCGTCCTCCGGTTTGGGCAGGTGGGGTTGGTTAGCAAACAGCCGAAAGAGGGGTTGTGGTGAATGCCTCCTTACTCCTTTGAGTGTATTTTGTGGAAAATCTGGCTGCTGAAGCAGCGTTGGGAAGCGCTTCAGAAGCATCCTATAACTGTGCGTCTGCTTGCAGGAGGACCCCCTAGTGCTCAATGAGATCAGAGAAGATCTCCGGACGGAATGTGAAAAGTTTGGACAAGTTAAGAAAGTCATTATATTTGATGTAGGTATATGTTTCCTGGCCAGAGATGTTCTAAGCCATGTGTATCAGATATGCTTACACTGTGTTCCATATTACTGTATTCTGTATGTTTTGCATTTCACTTTCATTAAAATATGTTTTTAAATACACAAAGAAATAACTGAATGTGTTCTAAACTTCTTCAGCTTGATATGCTTCATAGTGTTAATCAGTGATGCCCCTTCTGCCAAAGACTGAAGAGTGGTGGGTGTCTCTTTCTCTCCCTTGTTTCATCCCCTAACCTATCCACAACCACCCTGTGAGGTAGGCTTGGCTGAGGAAAAAAAATGACTTGCCCAAGGTCACCCAGTAAGAGCTTCATGGCTGAGCAGGGATCAGAACACAGGTCCCAATGGATAGAAGCCCAATATTCTACGATCTATACCAGTGTGGTCTAACTGGCTTTTGGCCTAAATTCAAAATCCTACTGCAAGCAGTAAGTTCAACCTGCTGGGAAGGGCAACTCTATGGTTTACAGAAATGTTGATTGGTTGGTTGATTACTGCAGATTTATTAACTGCTGGAATAATTATCAGGGTAATAGCCATTTCTCTATTTGCACTGCTTTAACTGTTCAGATAATCTATTTTCTTTTTGTTGTGTGTGTGTGGGGGCGTGTCTTTTTTAAAATAAACATATAAGCAAAAAAGGTTCCTGACTCCTTTATATAACATACTACACAGTTGAAAGGTCCAATCAGATAATTCCGTGCAAGAATATATGTAGGCTGTGGAATGTGGATGCAGTGTATCCAGTGTAGACTGATTGGATGGCTCAAATATTTGGGAGCAGTGTTTGGTCACGACTATCTCCCCAATGATTTTAGAGTCCATGCTTTTCTGAAAGTGATGTTCATGCTGAAGTATTTCTGTAGTGTTCCTTTTATTCCCCAAGTCCTCTGAAATCACGTGTTCTTTTTAAAGTGCATGCAAGGCCTAGCTTCCGGTTTTCTTTTGGTCTTACAGAGGCATCCAGATGGTGTTGCATCAGTGGCATTTAAAGAAGCAGAGGAGGGTGATGTCTGCAAACAGGCGCTCAACGGGCGATGGTTTGGTGGACGGCAGCTCTCTGTGGAAACGTGGGATGGTGTGACAGATTATCAGGTATGCCTGGACCCCTGCATCCTTGGAGATTTTTTCAAGCGGAGTATGTGTAATGCAGGTTATTGCGAGTCAGAAAGTGACAGGTTCATTGTGGTCAGCCAGCCAGTCACCTGTTTTCATGTGAGAGACTTTGTTATCATGTGTCTCTAATTGAAAAAAAAATCCTTTTTGCTCTGTACTCATGTAAACATGGATGCCAGTAACACTGGCTCATGGGAAGGCATGAGGGCCTTCCCCACCTGAGGCTGCCACAGAACTAACCCCCCTTTCCAGAAGCCCAGTAGCTTCCTTTTGAACTCTTAATTAAAAAGGGCCCCCTTAAAACTAGCGTTTCCACATTAAATGCTGTGGTAAGGTGGTGCACTTTTTCTTGGTCTAACTGCTGTTAACCACAACAACTATGATTAATTTATGCGTAGTGGATGTAGTAGGGGAAAGGGTGGTGTGGCTAAATGGGAGGGGTTCACAGTGGGTTGGATTCAACCTAAGTTTGTTTCACTGGTCCTCCAAGGTACATGTGACTAACTTTTCATGTATTCAGTGAGTCCTAAGTACAATGAACTTATATCGAGTCCCATCCAAAACTTTGTATTTTAATGAATCGGTTTTTGGGTATTGACTTCTACCACTTTTCTGTTGTCACATGCAGAATATTGACTACTTTTGAGTTGAGAGAGAAGGCAGGTTATAAATACTTTAAATCTGGTCTTTCCTGCAACCTGTACGATTCTTACCTTGAATTCACCTGAAGTTAGGGCAACCTAATATTTAAAGGTTTTATATATAAAAGGAGATTAAATAAATTCATGGAGGATAAATAGAATCATAGTAGAGTTGGAAGGGGCCAGAAGGCCATCGGGTCCAACCCCTGCTGTTGCAGGACACTGTTACACCACCCCATGTAGATGACTCCCAGTCTGGCTGATTGCTAAAGGTACCTCTGCTACCAGCAAACAAGCAAGTGCCAATACTAGGAATTCTGTGGTATTGAGTACAGCTGGAACAGTTCCACTTAGGTGGCTACTTCTGCAGCATAAATGTGACCCTGGATAGGTCCCTGAACGATTGAATCCTAACCTCGTAAGCTAAAGGGTCCCTTTCTCCTTCCTGCCATAACATTTACTGCTGTGTGTAAACCAGGTTGAAGAGACTTCAAGAGAAAGGGAAGAGAGACTGAAGGGGTGGCAGGCGTTCTTAGGGGGTCCTGCTACAGAAATGCCAAAAACTGCATCTGATGCGGATTCTTCAGAAACTGACAAGCAGTTATCGGAAGGTGTTCGGCCATCTAAAGATAATGGTGCATCCAAGGGTGGTCCAGAGGTCGAAGCCACCGAGGCGGAGGATAACGGAGCAGGTGCTGATAAGGATGTCACGGCATCCACGGACAGCAGCGTGGCTGGCAGCGATGGAGAGGCAGAGACATAACGTTCGCTCTCTTGTGAAAGCATGTGTTCGGGGTAACCTTTAGATCTCTGTTATCCCGTGCTTGGGAGCAACTGCACGCAGCAATCAAGTGAATATATATGCATTTCCTTATTCGGATACCATCAATGTGCTTTTGAGGTATTACGTTAAAAGCAGTATTTAATGATGATATTTTATCAAAATATATATATATTCATATCTGGCTGCTGTTCACTCTGTGTGTGTATGTGTCATAAGTTGCCAAGAGCCCTGCCGAACTGACCAGCTGTCTTAAGTTGTAACTTTGCTTGTCATTGTTCTAAGTCCATCAGCATAAGTCGGTACAAACTTGCATTTCCTGTTAATGGCACACCGAGCTTTAGAAATAGAGGTATGGATGCTTTTCAGTATTTGCTCTAATTTTAACCTTGCCCCAACCTGCTGGTATTCTTGTAGGACATAAATTCTTCTTATCCTTGGATACACCAGTGTGTACTTGGTTTTCCTGATATTTTAAAATCAGTAATAATCAAGAATTGAGGATGTGCTGGTGGCACACCAAATGCTTTGCTGAAGGATGGAAAAAAACTTCCACACTGCAAGTTAAGAAGGATCTGAAGTGGTCTGAAAGTACTACCCAGATAGGCAAAGTCCCTGATGGCTTAAGTCCTCCATTCATGTAAGTTTAAGCCTAGCGAAGCTAGAAAACAAGTGGAGGAAACTGTAAATAAGATTACGTCTCATCTTTGTTCTTATTTTATTTTTTTGTTTTGATGAATTAATACTGGAAATATACAGAAAGCTTGTGTGTTGGAAGTGATTTTTCCCCTAGTATTTCTGTATTCAAACATAGCTAGGTTTCTGGCATTTGTCAGGGGTAATGAATATATGGAGTGTGTTTTATACTTGGAGTGATTACAGGAAATTCTATTGAATAAAATTGTTTTGAGATTCATTCCCAAAATTGTTGCCCAGATTTCTAAATATAGGTAACTGATTTTTACAGATATTAGAAATAGTGAATGCTGGATTGACAAAATGCTCCTAAGATTTTCCAGACAATAAAATTGTTTTCCAGTGCCCTTAACTAAAGTAGGAGTGGATTGGACACTGAATGGGAAAAGCCATGGTCTGACACACTGAGCATGAGCAGTTGGTGAATCCCCTTCTCCCTTTGTTGGGGAGGAGAGGAGACACTTTCATTTTGCAGGTGGCAGCTGAATAGGGCAATCCTTGTTTATGGAAATGTTGGCTTGCCCTCAAGCCAGGACCCCGAAGTACAATTTAGTTCTGATTGAGGGAGAACTAAGGTGTGCATAAACCATGGTTTGCTGTTGCCTCTTCATGCAGCAGACCAGAAATGAATTCTTCCACCTGCCTCTTGTGTGTGGTGACTGAGGAAGCATTCAAGGTAGGACTTGCTGCTGCTTCATTTTGCAAGGCCAAACTTCAGTTGCATCTTTAATAAGTCTGAACCTTGCAAGGGGTGGGATGGGGTAATTTAGGAATGTGGTACTGGAAAAAATACTCTTTTGTACAATAAATATGAGTATCTAGCATACCTGTTTTGTATTTGGAATTTTTGATTAAGTTCATAAATACTTTTGTTTTGAAAAAGATCTGATTTCTATCACATTTGAACTGTTTGCTTACAGGAACTTGCCAACAGCTGAAATATTTCCATCTGAAATTTGAGAATTTGAGTAAAAACTGAACAATCTATTATTGCTGTTTTGAGATATATGTTCACCCAGACAACCAAATTTTAGTCACTACAGGCCTTCTTCCAGCACTCACAGTAGCTCTGGGAAGAGTGTATTCAAAAACATGGCAAGAGTTGAGTGTGAAAACCATGATTTTCTCATGCTTTTTTTTTTTTTTTTGTGTTCTTGAAGGTTGTGGATGAGATGACAACAGTGAATGAGATAATTTGAACCGAAATATTTTTGTGCAAGTTTAGCTGCACTAGATTTTATTAACTAACTTGTGTGATAGTTAACATTAAATAAAATATTTCTGGAATTTAAATGACTGTCCCATTATAAGAATACTGCTGCTGTAACTTAGATTTTTGTGTATATTACATTCTTGGTGTAGGATAAATCTGTCTTGGATTAAATGTTTCAGATCTGGTCCTTCCTAAATAGGCAGAAGTTTACTGCAATTAAGATGGACATGTAATCTTTGCCAGGCCCTCTCAAGCCAACTGTGGTTCCTTTCACCTGCTTGGTCTTCCCATGGAAGAAATACAGCTTTTTATAACTGCTTTTGATTCCTGTAACTTCTGCTTTTTTGACCTGGGTGCATCTGTGAAGCATTGGCCAAGTTATCATTCAGGAGTTATGATTTGGGGCAGTTTTAAATGGGAATTACATTTGCAGCTGAAATGTTAGAACTAGGTTAATGTGTTTGAGTACCCAAGTCTCCCTTTTCTTTGCCATCAATCAGTACAATGATCTTTGAGGCGAAAGACTACATGCAATGGCATAGAAATTCAGTGGGGTTTCTTCACAGGAGCCTTAAGGCATGATCCTATGCAAATACAAACAAGAAAAATGGCCAGTAGCTCCCAGGCATGCTGGGAATTTGCTCTTTTGCTTGCTTGCTTGTTCATTTATGCATTAGATTTCTAACCTGCCCCATTAGCCACGGGCAAGTAGTGGACCTTTTTTCTGTCTAAACTTGCAAAGGATTTCACAAACCCATGTAACAGTCACACCCCAAGAGAATAAACATTAGATGATTTTAACCCACAACATCATGCTTTTGCAATAAGTGTCAAAAAGAAGCTCAGGATGGGTCTCCAATATGATGTCCCCTGGTTCCACAGACTCTTCCCTGGCAGCTTCCTCCAGTTTAAAGTTCTTGGTTTAGAATTGTTTGGAACTGGGAGACCTGCTTACTGCAAAGTGAAGTTCTGCACTCCATTTGGGTTCAAAAGTGGCTGTGTGTTCGGAGCTCTTTCCACACCTCTGCCTTGTACTTTGGTTCCTGGGCAGGGTAATTTTCTTTTGGACTCACCAGGTCGCCTTGTGGGAAATGCCTGGTTTGTGACCGGCCACGCCTAGCATGGCTGCTCTTTTAGGAACAGACAAGCCCTCTGTGCCAGCCATTTTGGAAGGCACTCAAAATTCCAAATGCTCACTAACCCAAAACATACATACATACATTTATTACATTTATACCCTGCCCTATTGCTTCAAGCACTCAGGACGGCTTACAAGATATAAAAAATACAATAAATATAAAACTATAAAACATTGATTATTAAAACTATATAAAACACATCACTATAGAAAATGCGACTGAAAAAGTCGCATAGAATAGAAAAATAGAATAAAATCCAAAAACGTCTAAGAACATTGTTAAAATAACAAATAAAAAGGTCTTTAGGAAAGAATAGAACATCGGCGCAGGTGGAACTCTCTGGGGAGCACATTCCATAGTCTGGGCCCCTGTGCGGAGAAGGCCCTCCGGGTAGACACCCTCTGTACTTCCTTCAGGGAGGGTTCCTGGAGCAAGGCCTCCCCCGCTGATCTTCAGTGGTATGAGGGCTTATAGGGGTTAGGTGATGCAGCTACAATTAGTTTCCTTCAGTATATCTCCAAGTAAGTATTGAGTCACCTCTGTGTACGTATCCCCTCCTCTGCTGAGATCTACCAGAAGGTGTTTCTTGGAAGCACTAGCAAGGGGTTGTTCTTCCTGACTGGCCTCGTAAAGTATAGATCAAATGTAGTGTGCATCTCTTCCTTGTTCATGAGGTGTGTTAGGTCCCTGGATTTCAACCTTTCCACAGCTGGGGACCGACATAAGCAGGAAAACCACCTCGGGGACCCGACCGCTTAGGCAGAAACAAAATGCACCATGCACATAATTCAGTATTTTGTGCATTAGTTTCCAAACACTACCAAAAAATGAAAATTATCCAAAACAACCAGAAACGGAGCAACAAAAAATGCCAACAAAAGAACAAAATGCCAACCGGAGAAGAGGTGGTGGGGCACAGCCAGCCCCTGTGCCCATCTGCAGCTAGTGGGAGGTCCCCCCACCCCCATGGAGCAGCAGGAAATCTCCCATGGACTCATGCCAGCCCACGGACTGGTGGTTGAAAACCAGTGCACTGGGTCACCCTTTCCCGAGTGGGCCTAGATGTAGCCCCCGCAGATGGACTTCCAGGCAAAATCCGTCTTGAGCCTTTGCTGGGTCCCTGGAGTGCTTTGCTCCACCTAGAACGGAGGTGGAGGAGCAATGGCAAAAGAAGACGCTCGGATCACATTTGAAGTGTATCACTATGCAGGATATATAGACAAGGGCCTAGGAAGAAAGGAACTTGCAGTCTAAAATAAGCAAGTGGGACAGCGAAGAGAGAATGGAGACACACACACAGTAAAAGGTTGCTCATGTTGAGAATGGGAAATGTATAATCCAGAGTTCATGTAAAAAAGGATCTGGAGTAAGAGAAAGAGGCACTTTGTACATGCCCAGGGAGACAGGTCTGTTGGTCAAGAAGGGAGAGCAGAAGAGAGAGAATGGTCTTCTGTTGGGGGTCACTTGGCCACAATCTCTCAAATGTGGAGAGAAGGGGATCTTCCTTTTCTCCACAGCTGCGATAGCAGGGCTGATCTTCAAAATAGCCATTGCCAAACGCTGCCTTAGAAATAGACACCGAAGCCCTCTCATTTTCCTCATTCCTGAAACCTCCAAACCTGGTTGACTTGTTGGCGTGCATTGCACACATTCCTGGTCGCACGCCTGCAGGATACGCCTAGTGTGCTCACGGCTGGAGGGGAAGCAGGCGACTGGCGCGATCACACACAGCCTCCCCTTTGCTTGGGGGCCCTGCGGAGCTCTTGGCGGGGGACGGAGACCTGCAGCATGAGCTGTGTGGAGGCAGACAACCTGCAGGGCGGCTGACCGCAGTGGCAGCTCGGTAAGTGAGCCTGGACTCAAAGCCTCCCCCTAAGACAGGTCTGGGAGGGAGAGGCACGGGGAGATACTGAGAGAGATTGCATCCAAGAGGGCCAGACCCGTTTCGGGTGTGATCCTATGGGGAATGCTGGGAATTGTGGGGATTTTTAATGCCCGAACCTGTATAGGAGCACAGGGTTCTGCTCACAGAAACTGTTTTTCCCTCCACTCCAGCAGCCCCTGCGAAAACAGCCTTGTTATCTTGATCACCCAATTAAAAGGGCTGTTGCTTGAAGGAAAGGGTCCCTTTTGCTGCTGTGGGCATCTTTCTGGAAATCCCCAAGGCTGAAATGGATTTCTGTCGCTTGGGCTTATGCCCTTCCAAGCTGGCTGGACCTCCTCTGAGTATCTGACAGCGTCTGTGTTGGGGGTTTTGGCACCCTGGAGCAAAGGACAGGAGAGCCAGGAGGCGTGGGGGGGTCTGTGCTCAGCCTGGTGAGGCTGGTGAGGTCCCCTGATCTGGTCCAGGCCCAGATAGGATGTGAAGTCGCAGTGGGAGATGTGTGGTCGAATCTGACCATGTGGTGTGGCAAAGGAGAGAGCGTCAGAGCTGGCCCAATGTCACCGAGGCACGCCAGGATCTGCCCTTCTGGCATCAAGCGTGGGGGTGCCCCCACGATTTTCCCGTGAGCTTGCAGGTTTGGGGCTCGCTGGCATAGAGGTGGGCTCCCCAGAAGGGCCCTCGCAAGCCGAGTCCTGAGAGGGGAGAAGCAATTGGGAGATGCAATGTAAGAATCTGCCTTAGACTGAGACCTGCAGGCCATCCGGTCCCATAGGCAGCCCCACTGTCTGGTTTCCGGCAGGAGTGTGTCCACTTTACCTGGGGATGCTGCACAGGTAAGCTTGGTCCCTTGAGCGGCCAAGCAGGTGCTCCGCCATTTTGAGTGCAGCTCCTGCAACTTCCTTGTGGGCCAAGCAGCCCCTGCCTGCCTGCGGGAGGGGCACTATTCGGTTTGGGGAAATGGCACGGGAGAAAGACCCATGAGAGGTCAGTGTGGGAATTTCCCAATGACACCTCTGCTTTGATCCTTAGCTACCCTTCCTCCTCTGGGTGGCAGCTAGAAAGCTCAAAGTGAAAGCAGCAGTGGATGGCGACCCCTACCGACAAGGGCGTCCCCGGCCTGGCCTGCTGCTGGATTGGGTTGGGCCGGAACAGCATTTGGGGTGGCAGGGCACCTGTCCTCCCCACCTGGCACATTTTCTTCAGAACTTACCAAGGACAAGGCCGTTTTGCATCTCTTTCTTAATGGAGTCTCTGTGGTAAGGAAAAGGTTGGGAGAAGCTTGGGAAGATACTGGGTTGAAGAGGACCATGTCTGGAGCGTCCCAAGCAAAATTCCATGGACAAGGGTGGGTGATGGGTGGAACTTTGGCTGGAACATGACTCCCCCCCCTCCCCCCGCAACCCTGGAATTTCTCTTCTTAACTCTCTTTCTCAGCAAAGGTTTTCCAAATAATGTTTATTTTGCCACCGCCCTGCCTCATTCAAAGTATTCTACTGGCATGTACTTGTGTGCAGATAAGGAGCTGGTTCATGTAACATGACAACTCATGCTGAAGGCCGAGTCTGGGTTGAGTGGGGGTTGCTGTTAAACCAGGCTTTGTTGAGCTGTGTGAACCCAGCTTGTGTTAACAAACCATGATTTGTTAAATGCAAATATTCCGCCGTTCAGAACCCAACAACCATGGTTTCCCTTATGAGTTGTCTTGGTGGACAAACAATTGCTTGTTAGCATGGCTGGGTTCATATGACAACCATTGTTCAACAGCAAACCACTCTCAAGCCATATTCAATCCTGAGCATAGATTATTGGGTTGTATAAAACCAGCCACTGTTGTCTTCAAATTGTAATCCACTGGTGTTTCCCCAGTGTTGCTTCTGTCTTCTGGCTTTCCACAAAAAATGAAATAAAAATTAAAAATTAAGAAAACCCATTAAGGGGCTAAAGATGGGATGCCTGGGCAATGCCTTGGAAGCTGTGGGAACCTGTTCAGACAACTCCCAGTCTACCCAGGGCATCCTTACCATATCCACTGCTTCCTATTCTGTAAGAAAACCTTCCCCAGAATCATAACTGCTTGCAAACAAAGCTGAAATCCTGTTTTCATCTGCTTCTGTTTTATCTTCTGTTTAGGTGCAGAGATGGAGGAG